GAAGTTATGACCAACTGCCAGAACCCAGCAGTTTACATAGACAACTGCATAGATATAGTATTTAAATACAATCTATTCCTAGAAGTGTGTAAGAGAGTAGGAGCGAAGGACAGCGAAGAAGGAGACAGAAACAGGGAAATCATTAACAATATGTATAACGACTTTTGGGAAAACAAGTTGCCTATTCAAGACATTATACCGAAATATTTTGAAACGACTGACGACATAATGGCATCGGAGCACAACATTGCCTATACCAACATAAGATGCCGAAATGTAGCGGATGAGATTGGAAACAGGTTAAACAAGAAAAGTAAATACGAAGTGGGCGAAATACTCATTGCCAGAAAATGGATTAAACAACCAAGGGTAAATGTAAATCTACGGTATAGAATTACGAGCATAGAGCAAGACGAACTCGGAGCGCAAATAACATTACAGAACATAGCGAATGATGAAGATGAGTTTATGCTGTTTGAAGCGGTTGTTGATAATAACTTTATATATTCATATTGCGCCACCTGTCATTCAAGTCAGGGAGCGAGTGTAAAGGGGAGTATAACTATACACGAATACAACTTACCAATAGTAAGCAGGGAGTGGGTTTGGACGAGTATTACACGCTGTGTTGATTTTGGAAAAGTCAGGTTTTACAACAACGCAAGTTTTGATAAACAAATGGATAAAAACATGATAATGAGATGCTTCAAAAACAAGGTGGAGAATTACAAACTACAAGACCGGCGTTCCCAAAGAAGCATAAATGAAGAAGAATACATAAACCCCGAATGGTGTTTGAAAATGTTTAAAAGCAGGTGCGAGAAATGTGATACAGCATTCAATTTTGAAGTGAAGCAAGGTAAGTTATGTAGCAACTTTACAGCACAGCGTCTATGTAATGATTACGGACATCATTTAGACAATTGTTGTGCTTATTGCTTTTACTGTAATGTATCGGTCCATTAAACAGGTTTAAAGATATAAAGGATACATATGGTAGGATGGAAGAAAATAAGTATCAAAAAGGCAAGGTTTATCTTATAACAGATGTGGGATACAACAAACTCTATTACGGAAGCACATGTGAAGTGTTAAGTAAAAGGATGTCAAGACACAGGAAACAATACAAAATGTATTTACAAGGTAAGGACAGTCGCGTCAGCGTGTATGAAATATTTGACGAGTTGGACTTGACAACTGTAAAATAGAACTTGTTGAGATGTTCCCGTCAGGTTGTCTTGAAGAATTGAGGAAAAGAGAAGGGTTCTACATTAAGAACAATCAATGCGTCAATAAACACATCGCCGGACAATCAACCAAGGAGTATCAAGCAGAAAACAAGGAGCAAATACTGCAACAACGCCGACAACATTATCAAGAAAACCGAGAGCAACTTTTAGAAAAGGTTAAAACTTACCAATCAGAACATCGCGAAGAAATACTCGCGAAAAAGTCTTTAAAGGTTGAGTGCGAATGCGGAGCAATCATTTGTAAGGGCGACAAAGCAAAACACGAAAGGACAAAAATACATTTAAGCAAGGTGAATGGCGCAAAATAATATCTTGTTTAATATAATGACATCTAAACAAGATATTATATCCAATATTTATTACGACCGCTCAGGGTTCGGGAGTAGGGCAACAACTCTACAAGATGCTAAGAAGAAAGATGCTACAATTACAAAAGAGGACGTTGAGGAGTTTTTTAGGAAGAATGTTGAAGAAAGCGCAAACCGCGTGGCGAGAATAGTTTTGTAGCACCTCACGCCCATTTTGAATATCAGGTGGATTTATTCTTTATTAGTAAAAATGATTTGGAAAACCAAAAATTTAGAATAGGATTAATTTTAATTGATATTTTTAGTAAATATGCTACAGTTATACCTATTAAGAGTAAACTTAAACCCTAAACCCTAAGAGCGCACTCGTGCCACGAAGTTGTCGGCGTGAGTGCCGTTGATGTAGATGATGACCTGGCGGGGTGCTAAGTGGCGTTTTTTGGGGCAAGGGGTTAGGGCTTAGGGGCTTAGACCTGAGAAGCACTGCCGAAACTGCACCCAAGTCTGCTGGCACATCACACTGCCATTTTTCTCGGTCGCGCTCTCATTCCGGTCTTTTACATCAGGGCTCAGCCGCAGGCAGTGTCAACGCGACACTTGCAGGGCAAAATCCTGTATGTCGTTTGGGCTGTTGCACCTGAACGCGGAACTTCACTCGATCGCCTCTTCAATGCTTCAGATGTCCTCTGAGTCATCCTCGTCATCGTCTGTGATGAGCAAGAAGCCTTCCTGCAGGGCGAGCTGCTGAAGAACGCAGAGCTGCGCTGCATTGAGGAAGCGGCTCGCTCTGATGCCAGGTCCGTACCACGGAGGGTAACCTGACAGTTGCTTGAATATGTCCTTCAAGAACACGCCAGGAATGGTGCCTGGAGGCGTGCACTTCTGAACAGAACGGTTCAAGAAGTTCGCCATATCGCCTGAGTGATTCGACAACCCGTGTAGGATTGACGATGTGCTCCCAGAAACCGAGTCCTCCTGCCTGATTTTGCCCACGGCGCGCTCAAGCATGGCGCGGGCAGTCAGTTCCCCCTTTCTGGCCGCAAGCTCCTTGGTCACTTCCTTCATCTTCTCCTCCAGCAGCTGCGCCTTCATCTTCTCCTCCAGCAGCTGCGCCTTCATCTCTGCAGCCTGGGTCTTCATCTCTGCAGCCTGGGTCTGCGCCTTCATCTCTGCAGCCAGGACGCGCAGAAGCAGCTTCTTTCTGTCTTGGTCATTCTCTTTGGCCAGTTCGTCCGCTAGCTCTTCCCATGCTTCCGCTGATTTTGCCTGACACCCTCGCAAGGTCAGAGGCTTTGAAGGAGCTTTCATGCGTGCCACAAAGCCGTCTGGCCACACGACGTGGCTGCAGATTAGATGACCGAAGGCACAAATACAAATCCGAGCAAATCTATGGCTCAGAACGCGCATGGTGCACACAGCAAAGTCAGATCCATTACTATTGCGAACTGAGCCGCTCGTCTGCGGTTCGAGTCGAACGCTGAAACTGGGCTTCCAGCTTGTATGCGCTGATGGGCAAGGCTAGCTTTCTGTTGCGGTCCGATAAACAAGCCAGGCAGACCTTTTCCGCTGTTGAGTTGTAGCACCGAGAAGCCGCACGTAGCATTTAAACGTGGTTCAGGGATAAAGATTTTTGGGGTTGGCTTCTGTATTGGGGGGGTTATGTCTTTATGGGTTTTTGGTGTTGTGTGTTGTCAGGTGTGGGGTAAGGTCGGTTGTTTTGATTTTGTTTTTTGCTTTGGGGTTTGGTGCTGAGTTGGGGAGTGCTTTGGGTTTTGGTGTTTTGGAGGGTTGAGATGTGGGGGAAGGGAGGTTCTTTTGATTTTGTTTTTTGCTTTGGGGTTTGGCGCTGAGTTGGGGAGTGCTTTGTGTTTTGGTTTGTGCTTTGGGTTTTGGCGAGGTTGTTTTGTTTTGCTTGTGATATGGGTTTTGGCGAGGTTGATTTTGGGTGTGGGTTGAGAATTGAGGTAAAAGCGTAGGGGGGAGTATAGGATGTGAGGTGTGGGGTTAGCCTATGCTTGCTTAAGGGCCACGGCCGAACGCTATACTGAAGCCTCATACACTGGAATCCACAACCCGCGAGAAGCAGGATTCCAAAAAAAAATCGGCCTTCAGCGCGTGAGAGTTTGACCAGGGTTGTGGTGTGGAGGTTTCACACACGTTTCTGCACAACTGCCTCCAAACCTGCACAGAATATCGAAGTTGAAACGAAAAAGCCTGCAACCGTAATGAAGCTGTCTGGATGAATCTTGTGGTCCCTATAAACTTACTATAATAGGCTATAATGTGCCCCCAAAAACCCGATTCTAACTATTCAAGTCCCCATATGGATTTAGTAGTCCCTGAACCCTGAACACCAGACCCTAAACTAAACCTAAAACAGCAAACTGAAGTGCTGAGACATGACTGCTTTCGTAGCCCCATGCCTGCGACCTACTAACCATACTTGTAGCATGGCTGAAGGTCTAGGATTTACAGTTGGTGCCGTAAGTTTTTAAGCTTGAGGGACCTAGAGGTGTAGGGGCGGCTGGGGCGGGAAATGATTCCTGCCATGGCTGCCTGTATTTCTGCTGTCCTCTGTCGATATCTTGTTGCTCATACTGCCAAAAGTTCGTAAGCTTTTCTCCCTACACTAGGCAACCAGCCCTTCCCGCATAGACCCATAAAGCCCAATACTCTTTCAGTAGACAAATCACTTTGAATCCTGTTTTACGGATCTCTCAGTATTCTGCCTGAACCCTAAACCCTGAATCCTAAAGCTCAAACCCTTACTTACCCTTACTTAATAAGTTTTGTGCTCTTTGAAGACTCCTGCATTAAGAAATTTCGGGAAGCCCCCGACCATCCGGAATTGAAATGCAAGTTGTATGACATGCGACTCTGAATGCGTAGTGATGGATATCCCCTTATAGTCGCCATATACTTGGAGGATCAGGGGACTTAGTAAGCAGGGTTATAATTGAGGTAACTATAGTTATATTTACCTATAACCTTCATGGGGGCTCGTATAACCCTACTTACTAAGTCTCATGATCCGCTAAGTACCCCAAGAACTCTGTAATTATGAGGCGTTCACTTTCGAACCCTTTGAGAATCTTAATGGCGCTATGGGGTTTGAACGGGTTTTAAATCTTTATACGGCTTCTCATAAGGCAAGCTTCACAGCCTGTGCGTTGGCTTCGAACGTTTAATATAGGAGGGCCTGAATAACTGGAACAATGGCACGGCAGGACTGTCTATACAGTCTTACAGGGTTGTATAGCATGGGGTTATATATGGGTGGTTCCACTTCCTAACCTCTCACGCACCGGAGCATGTACCCTGCAATTCTCCCCAACGTGTTCCCAGGTCTACACCGCAAGCAAGGTTTAAAGTTTGGCTTTACCTTGCAGGGGTGGGGAACTCAAGATTTCAGGACAAAGGCGTTGGCAAGCCCGGAACCTGCCTACGTGAAGAATCGAAATGGGTAACAACATCGCGAAGGGCTTCCCGCAGTCGGCCAGAGCCCGCAGAACGCGCTCCTGCCAGCCCCGTGGAGGGTATGCGGGGCACATGAAAATTTTGGAATTTCAAAATTGGACGATGCTGTCTTAGACTGTCCTGTCGCGACGGTACTACTGTACAACGCAACGAAGCTTCACGGACCCACTCTGAGCTTGCAAAATTCCACGGTGTTTACACAGTCATTGATGTGCTGAAGCAAACTGCGCCAAAACACACGGCATTTAGCTCGAAGAGCTCTTTATTGCTGACATCACCATGACGGATGGGGACATGCCTTTCCTTAGCCTTGGTTGATTTAAATTACCCATCATCTTCATCGTCAAAAGTGCTGCATACACCCATCGTCTGGTCAAGAGTGGCATCATGACGCGTGGTATGGAGTTTACTGCGGCAAAAATGTTTCGAAATTGCAGGTGTTATCAATCGTAGTTCTTCTTTTGCAATCATCGGTACATCCTAGCACAATCTGGCAGCGACGTCGCTACCGTCATCTTGCATCTCTCCTCGCCATCAAGACTGCAAGTGGTCGGCCATCCGGTATGGTTATACCCAATTTCCCCCTGATGCCTGCCTCGAGCCTGTTTTCTCCACGATCAGCAATGTTTCAAGCACCCCGAGCTGATTGCAGGCAGTCAAAGTCGATACGCTCGATGTCGAACACGCAGAAACCAATGCCCAGCAAACTGGAAACCTAGAAAGGCACGGCTTCGCACAGGTGAGATGTTGACTGAAACGGACGAACTGATGCTGCAGCAAGTTGGTTCAGGCTTCGGGTGCTTGGTTTACAGTGGGTGCTTGGTTTACGGTTTATGCAAAGAGTAAGTCGATTTGAAGCATAATTTCCAAACAGCAGAAACCGAACAAAACTCGTCCGAGTCTTTTCGGAACATCTTCTAATCGACTTATTCAGTCCCCGGGCCCTTCACAGTTTCGTGCTTCCTGTAGCACGCCCGGGAATGCGGCAGGTCATGCAGGCCTTCCTGTCCTTCCAAGTGTGTCCCAGGGATCGGACTTCGGCCGACGGCCCTCATGCAGACACGGACAGTCCGATGCCGTTTTAAGTTTTAAGTAAGCAAGATGCAGGAAGTCCTGCTACTGCTCGCTGTATAGTTGCACGGACACTCCCTTTTGCAAAGGTACAGGAACCACTGGGAACAGGGTAAACCCCTAGAAAAGGAGGGATACTGTAGGCCATCCCTGCCGAACTGACAAGACGCCTCGGAAACTCTCGCAGACTCCAAACCCCTCTCGTGGATACGAGTTTGATAAGACTCATCTCCAAAGTAGCACTCGCGTGCAGCGTCATCAACCCTGAATATTGCAGACCTCCGATTCAGGCACCGAAAGCAATCCCTGGGTCTAGGGTTTAGGGAAACCGAGAATCAGCTACTTTGATCCCTGAAGCCGATGTAATTTATATCAGGGCTCCACGTTGGACCTCAAACCAGAATACTTGGAGGATCAAGGACTTAGTAAGTAGGGCTATAAGTACCCTAATTAAGGTTATAAGTAGATATACCTATGGTTACCTTACATATTTATAACCCTACTTACTAGGTCCCCTGGTCCTTTAATCCTCTAAGTACAAAACCCGTAGTACCTCGATGTTGGACACTTCGAGAAGTGGCTTGCAGTTTAGTCTAGGTCACACTACAAGGGAGGTGGATATTTCAGTGAGCCACAGCATAGTGTTAAAATCCGATGAGCATACCTTCTTCGAACTGAGCCCGTCTGAAAGACAAGCAGCAACTTCAAATTCCCACATCATTTGAACAGCCAGTCTCGCATTCTAGGAGTGATATCTCTGTTAACCTTAAACCGCTGACCTTGCACCTGACCATGCACAGGCAAAAGATTCAATGCTTCGCAAGTCTCGTTCGAAGGAACTCTGGATACAGGCCGTCCATACTGAAACAAGGCCTAACTAGTAGGATCCTTACTCCTGCATAAGGATCCCGATATCCGAGAGGTACTCTTAAGTTGATACGACGCTGCACCCGAACCCCCAGGCGCAAAAAACCTATATACACATGTTAAAACCCTGAGAACCCGTCGTGCAGGGCTTAGGGTTTGGCTTGGGGGGACGGCAACAGAGTAAAGCCCCAAACACCAAACCCGGTACTGGTCAACAAGCCACTACTGCATCGAACTTGAGTCTAAGAGGCGAATGTAGGAGCATGACTACGTAGAGGATCATGGGACTGAATTTGCAGGGTTATAAGTACGTTAATTACGGTTATAAGTGGATATAACTATTGTTACCTTACTTATAACCCTACTTACTAAGTCCCCTGATTCTTTAAGTAGGCTGAGTCCACTCCAAAGACTAGGATCCAAATCAAGCAGTAGGCCCCCTCAGACCCAAAGCAAAAATGTGGTCTAGAACAACCCCCTGACAAGATTTTGCTTTACGAAACCCATGACAACGGTTCTAAGCAACCACAAGTCAGAACCGTACTATTCCTGAGGGTTCCTCATTATCACGACGGTGTACTATACCCCAACGAGTTACTAAGGTTACGAAGGCTCCTATATAACCCTAAACAGAACCACGGCTTAGTTCTTCAAGTTGCGATTCAGGTTTTCTCAGCTTTTGGACATATGCGTGGGCTTCTTTCGGATTCTGCTGGCATCGTCCAAGGATTTATGACGAAATAATTACGAGAAAAATCTTGATTCGAAGATGTAGGAGGCTTCTCACGTGGATTCGATATGCGTAAGTTGGGGCTTTCAGGGTCTCAAGGCCTGACTTGTGAGAAGGACCACCGTCCAGGGTTGAAGGAAAAGGCTTAGGGCCGCATTTCCTTCAAAGCCATAACCCTGTTGTACACACGCCTGTTTACGATGAGTCCAGAACGAAAAGCGCCCTCAATCTTGAATGTTGCCACTCCTTACCGCTCACCGCACCCAAGCTAGCCCAAACCCTGAACCCTACTGCGCCCAACTCCTCCACCCTCGCCCCAAAGCTCCACAACCCGAACTGTACCTTCATCTCCGGCGCGGTGTACGGCGGGTTATCCCAGATCAGGTCCACTCCTCATATGCAACTAGTTGGACAAAGGGTCCCGGGTTTGGGGATGTTGAAAGGCTTTATGGGCTTAGGGCATTGGAAAAAGTCAGGAAAGCGATCCCATGCAAAACTCACTTGGAATCAGAAAGCGATGGAGATTCCCACCCAAGTTGCCTAGATGAGCGCCTCAGCATGTAGTACTTGTACTCATTTACCATGTCGACATACTTCCAGCCTATTGCAGCCGCAAAGTCACATACTGTATTCTCAGCCCAGGAGGTTCAATCTCTCAGGCCCTGAAAGAGGTGCACGTCCAGAACCCAAAGAATCCAATCTTGTATTATGGTACCCTCATTCATGCCTGATAGTGACCCTTATTGACCCCTTTCAAGGCAACCCTGTTCTCATCAGCCGGGGGCTTGGCGCATAAAGTCGGCTGGTACGGTTTGGGGCTGAGGGTTCACGGTTTAAAACTGCGACGAGGATGTGGCCTGAAATACTCCCCTTCTCCAGAGCTCGGAAAAGAGTCTCCTGTTCTTCCTGACCGGCTTGATGCTATGCGGAGTCGAACAACATCCCGTTGTAGTCCCTACAGAATTCTACTATGAGCAAACCCCAACCGCCCCCCCCTAGCCACTTTGCAACCACACCACTCCTCTGCCATTTTGGGGCCGGGGTTGAGCACCGGAGCCCTCTTTGCCCTGAAGTCCACACCCTGACCCTAAGCACCACCCTGAAACCTCAATTTTAAAACCCTAATGCTCTTCAAGCCTGAGCCCGAGAAAATCACGTATAACACCCCTGACGAAACCAGCTAACACCTTATATGCCTTATAAAGAATCCCAAACTCTAAAACCCGCAACCCCAAAGCCTGAACCCCAACCCCTAAACCCCGAACCCCAAACACTGAACCCTTCCACAACTCTCACAGAAGCCCCTAAACCACTACAACGAACCCAGAAGCCTGACCAACCGAAGCTCCCAGACTCGAGTTTCATGTCGGGGCCTTAATACTTGAAAAGGGTTTAGGGTTTAGGGGTTTAGGTTTAGGGTTTTGGGGTGTATTGTAGGGGCCTGAAGAATTAGAATGGGGTTTTGGTGGGTTCCTCATGCTAGTTATAGCACTTGTCAAGGCCCCAATACCATTTTTGAAGTTGGTAAAATTTCTACTGCAGAACTCAGGAATCCTTTTCTTAGCGTGGAGGCACCCGTGGTACAGGAAGTAGCATAGTACAATCATACAGGATACATCATCACTTATTATTCTGCCCCCTATAGTAAGCTGCTGCCCAGTCACGATTCATGAAGTTCTTGTCCTTCACGCCTTGCATAGGCTTTGGTGTTCAGCGTTGCGGGTTGAGGGTGTAGGTTTGAGGAATTTGGGGTTGAGTGTGGAGGGTCAAGGGTTCAGCAAGGGGCTGAAGGAGGGCCCGCGAAATCCTTAGAAGTGCGTAGCACTGGCCGTAAGCCCCATGCCTTAACCCCAAAACCGCCGTTTTGGGCCTTAGGCCTTAAGGCTTAGGGCTCAAACTTGGCTTTAGGGATGGGTTTGCCAACGTCGTCCCACATTGGCTAAGACAAGACCTGCCCCTTCTTAGAGGATCATGGGACTTAGTAAGTAGGGATATAAGTACCTTAAATAATCTTATAAGTATATATATATATAACTATGGCTACCTTACTTCTAACCCTACTTACTAAGTCCCCGGGTCCTCTAAGTTCTGGAGGACCCGAGGCTCTGAGGAGCACCTGTCTCGCTGACTGCTCCGACCTCTTTACACTTGGAGTTCGGCGGGGGGTTGAGGACCCAGAAGCATGAAGGAGAGGATCAGGAATCTAGGGGTTCCCGTAAAGCGTTCGGGATTTTGGATTGCTTGAAAGGTCTACAGTAGAAGCCAGAAAGTTGGAATATCATTATCCTAACCCCTTTAAGGTAAATTATAGGGGATCCTACCATTAATCCATATTCCAACTTTCTGGAGTTCCCTGTAATTTTACATGATTTTAGTATCCCTTATAGATCCCTTATAGTAACCCTTATAGACCCCTTTAAAGGAGCCCTAGGGCTTTGGGTTTGCGGCTCAGAGTTGTTGGACTGGGGGCTTCTACTCTCAAAGCGTGCTCACTGCATGCTTCACCCCTGGAGCCTTGCAGAAATGCCCCGACAAGAACTGGGCTGCCCACGTTCTAGGAATTTCCGACTGCTAAACCTCAGACCAGTCCTTCAAAATCCTAGTACATAATGCCGTTGTAGTTGTGATGGGTTCCCGAGTCAGGAAAAAACCTAGTTCAGACCCTACTTCATAAGATTGTTGCATCCCAGGGGCGCTCGAAGAAGTCCTCCTGCTTGTGGATGACTTTCTGAAAGCCCAGGGACCCTTGCAGAGGGCTCGGGTTTTCAGGTTTTAAGGCTTTCGGGTTTAAGGTTTCAGGGTTTTAGGGCTTAGGGGTTTAGGGCTTAGGGGTTTAAAGCTTAGGGTTTAGTAATGTAGACCCTGATTATAAAGCTAAATCGGGATCCTAATACTAGGAGATCCTAATACTAGAGTTTTGAAAGACAGGGGTTGATCAATCAACGGAGTGCATTACGTTTTGCATGTATGGTTTAGCGAGTTTAATAGGTTTCGGTTGAGAGTTGAAGAGTGCGGTGGGATTGGTATTTATGGAGCTCTATAAGGGGCTCTATCATAAAGGGTTCTGCATGCGTCTGAAGGGGTGCCAGCTAACAAGGCCCATTAACTCTGAGTTGGGGTAGGGCCTGAGGTTCACATCCTTGCACTCACGTGAAATAAGGAACCCAATACTAGTCTCTCGGAAAGGACACTCTAGATTTACACTCATCAGGATTCACCAGCAAACACTAGGAGCGTGCAATAGTATACACACAACACGCCCTGAACCCTAATCCCTGAACCCCATGCAACCCCTAGACCCCTAAGCCCATCCCTCAACTCGAGACCCTAAACCGCACTAAACCCTAAAGGGTTTCAAGCTGTAGCTTCTGTCGAGCAGAAGTCCTGCTTATGCACAAAATGACCGCCAAAACCATTCTCGATTGTTCGGGCTCTAGTGTTTGGCATCGGATTTTGAGGTCCTTTCTCGTGGAATGCCAGGAAGAGGAAGGAAGTCATGGAAAACCTTAAGAGTCGCGATCAGAAAAACAAAAATGTGGGAAATGACACACGTACTTTATGGAGGAACCTACAGGTTTGCTTCCCGAAGCAACCCTTCAACCCTCAACCCAGCAAAAGGCCAGTAGGATCAAGAGATGACAAGCAACACTGGTCTTCTGCGGAATGAGCTATATTCAACCTTCCAAGTCCTCATGACACAAACCCAAACCCTAAACCCCCCTTACTCTCAACGATATCAACTTATTTACATCCTCTTCTGTCACCAGGCTCTCAGGATGCGGCGTAGATGCTCCGCGCAAGCGCCATCGTAGTAGAATGGCATCCAGACCTCAACCCGAAGCCCTAAACCCAAGTCCCTATATATACCGTACATATGCAGTAGCCCCAAACAGAAAGTCCATAAGACGTATGAATGTAGCAGCCAGCTTAGCATGAACGGCTTTGGTGACGACTGCACAGCTGAGTAATGGCGGCTTTTCCAGGGCTGTTGTCACAACTTTTTGGAGGGGGTTCTATACATGCTTGCCATATGACACAAGAATTGCTGTTTCCTTCTGCCAGCCCTTGAATCCTTAAACCTCTGAAACAACCCACGAACTCACGTCTTTTCTGCAGAGTACGTACAGCTCAGCTGCCGACCGTCTTCCTGCGGTACGCATGGAAGTACCTGATGGCCCGAGCATCGCCTAATGATTCCCGATACCCCGTTTCGGCAATCAGTATGACTACCTAAGAAGCGAGAAAGGGTATTTCTACGGTTGATGATAAAAATCCTAAAAAAAGAGAAAAAAAAAGTAAAAAGAAAAAGTGCACGATTTTCCGCTGAATCCGAGGGCTGCGTCATTCGCATGTAAAAGCTTATACTGAGACATGGTCGGCAGGAGGTGCACATGTCTTACACCCCGCCGCGGGGAGCAGCAAATTGCTGGTCCCCGAAGTTTTGTGCACCCACTCTACCCGGTAGCCCTGCGATCACAATGGTTGCACACGTCATAGATCTGGGTGCTGTTGCTGGAGTTCAAGAATGGGCACCCGGGCAGGTGGTACACTCGGCCACGCGTGGTGGCAAATGCAATTCTACGTGGCAGCTCAGCCCTTCGGGCACGGAGGTTCCTATTCTCTGTTCGGACCTCAATTAAGGCATCTTCGCACTGCCTCACGGTTCGCCTCTCTTCAAACAAAAGTGTTTTGAGCTCCTGGACCCGGTCGACATACTCTTGGACGAACTTGTTCTCTGAGACCAACACCTCCCAGCTTCTAGTCTGGGTGGCCTGGTCGACTTTCCGCACCGGGGCTGGCCGCCACCACCAGCTGCAAAATGCAGCCCACATGTTCCACATCAAAATTGTGATTGCACCAATCACAACAGCCTTCATGGAAAAGTCGGCTTCGTAGAAGCTTTCAGCTGCAGCCAACCAAATGCCCGCAACCAAGCTCAAGCCCTCAAAGCTGCAGCCTTCAGCACTCAAAACTTGCGCCATAATCAAAAGGATCGGTAGCGCCTTCTTTGCATTCACCTTCACATTGCTCTGCATGATCTGCCGGATCATCTGCTTGCTGTTGGCCTCCTCGAGCTCCTCCTGGCCGTAGGCACCGCCGTCTTCATCCACGCATCCGGCACGGCAGAGGAGCTCTCTGAGCTTCTTTGCTGGGAGGGGCTTGGTCCCCACATCAGCCGGATTTCTGGGCCCGGCAATGATCCCAGCTCTCATCTTTTTCTCCTTGATCCCCTTTTGGACCCCGAGGAGTCCACAGTCCAAGTGTCGGATTTTTCCGCACCCAATGCGCTGTCCGATTCCTCGGGCAGCCGCGCTGTCGGTCCTGAGGATCACGTCGAGGGTCGCGAAACCATTCATGAGGTAGGCCATGCAGTCGGCAATGTAGGTCGCCTCGGTTGCTCCACCAACCATCGCAACGAACTCACTCTCTCCGCTGCTCAGGGCTATGTTCTTTTGTGAGCGCACAATGGTGCACAGGAGGCTGCCCCCTAGGTAGAGCTGGATGGAGGACTTGCTGTAGCGAGTCCTCTTGCACCCGGCCCAGTCAGCATCAGTGATGGACTCTAGGCACACCACCCCGCCTTCCTCCAATGGCCCCGAGCCGGCATAGTCGAGACAGGCTTTCTCCCTCAAAGGCCCGATCTTGTATCCCAGCACAGGCACCCTTTTGAGGTACCCGGCAACGCGTTGGAGCCAGCGGAGGGATCCTTCCGTAGGGCAGGCCATTTTCCCCGCAAGGACACAAACACCAAACTGCACGTCAGGTCTGGTGTGGCTGAGGTAGAGGAGGCGGCCCACGCACTCTTTGTATTTTGCGGCCGGCCCTGGGGCCAACGGTGGGGAGCTGTCGCCCTCAAGGAACGACTGGTCGGCCGGCACATCACGTTCACGAACTGGCCCCAAAGTGTCAAGCAGGCCATCTCCATGCTTCCGGCTCCCATACATCACCACACCGTCCTCTGTGAGAACATAGCGCCGCTTGAGGAATTCAATCTCATCCCCAATTTCCTTCATTGGTGGGCTGACCTGAATGGTAACCGAGGTGCCGAGGGACTCCACCAACTTCTCCCTGGCCTGGGCGCTTGAGGCGAGTAGGCCGTCGTCTGCATGGAGCACAAGACCTTGAGGTTCAGTAGCCGAGCCACCCCGGAAGAGTGTGGGCTCCTTGTCATAGTTCAGAAGCCCCGCCGCCTCAAGGTGGCCCCGAATGAACTGGAACCACTCGCTCGCTGCGATCCGTTGCCCAGGAAGCAGCATTTCGAGGATGTACGGAATGGGCTCGGCATCGGGCTCAAAGTTGCCAAAGAGCCTGGGGTCCACTGTGATCAGCACCGGCTGCTTCTGCACCACGTTGAGGTATGCATCTTTCACGTCGAGTGTGGCTAATTCCAGGTGCATCGTTTGGCTCCAAGCAATGAGCCCGTGAATGGTCCCAAGCGAACTGCTTGGGGCAAACAGTTCCTGGGTCCATTCGCTCCATCTCTTGAACTCCCTGGCCACTAGCCTTGACCTCCGCTTCCAAAGTGGTCGCCGGCGCCAGTCTCGTACCATCTTGGTTGTCAAAGTGGAGAACTGGCTGAGGTCCTCGCCTTGCTTCGGCTTTCTCACAACGCCCATGCCCTCGAGCCGGTCAAGCTCGACCTTGTCGGCCTCGATGTCGAGTGCCAGGAGCGCTTCATCTGACATGGTTGGTGGCTTCTCCCCTTCATAGCCATCCTCGGTCCACTGGGCTTCGGCTTCATCAAGAATGTCCGCCACGTTCTCGAACCACTCTTCCCAGCCAGACCATTCATCAAGGGGCACATCTCCATGGACTTGGTTGACACCGGCAAACCCAGGTGGGTAAAGCGAGCCACTTGACAAAGGAGATCCAGACGGTGGTCGATCCAGCAAGAGACGTGGCCTTTTCGGAACACTGGGCCCAGGTGCCTCTGGTGGCTCGTGACTTGGCCTGCTGCCTGTGTCCATTGCCTGGGCATCACTTGCTGAAGCTATTCCACCTGCGGCTTCACTTGCTGGGGCTATTCCACCTGCGGCTTCACTTGCTGGGGCTATTCCACCTGTGGCTTCACTTGCTCGGCTCCTTTCCCCTTCGGCTTTTGGTGTGCCCTGGCTGCTTGTAGTAGAGGACGTGCTTGACGTAGGGTCCGAGGCCGCCTCGTCGGGTGCCCTTGGAACTGGAGTGTTGGCTGCAATGCTCTCGGCTGCTGCACGTCCCGCTGCCTTTGCAAGTTCCTCCAGAGTTGTTGTGTCCGGCAGCAAAGGCACCCGCGTGGTTGTATAGAGGGGCTTCTTCCTGCGCTGGTGGCCGGCATAGCACCACGGCAAGCCCTTGGCATTGACCACAAGTTCTGGGCTCCATTGGCTCTCCCCAGGCAGTCGACGGATGGACCTCGACTCAAAGGCCCCATCCTCGGTCAGCAGCACATGGCAGTTGTTCCGCTCATTGGCTCCGACCCAGATTCCCTTCCGCCACTGCACATCTCCCTTGTACTTGGTGGGCCTGTGGAACAGGCAGGTCTCCCCGAAAACAAGGAGCCGCCCCTGGTATCGCCTTCCGAACATCACCTCGTAGGGGGGTAGCGTCTTGTTGGTGACAAAGAACCGGTTGTGCAGGAAGGCAGCGTGCCGCAACAGCCAAGCGAAGATGGCAGTGTGACCTCCCACAGCAACTTTCAGTCTGTCTTCAAGGTGGGTCTTCAATGTGAGGGCCAGGCGCCTGATCGTAGAAACCGCCTTCTCGACCACGCCGTTGCTCTGGTGGGAGTCCTTTGCTGTAATCCTGACCTGGGTTCGAAGCCCAAGCTTGGTGCGGCAGGCCTCTACGCTGTTGAGCACCTGCTTCATGGCTGGCTCCGGGTCGCCTTGAACAATGACCTCATCCCCGCCGGCGAGCTGCAACGTAAGTCGGACCATTGCCTCGGCAACCCGCTTAAGGGAGGCTGCCCCTTTCGCGACCAAAGGGAGGGCCGCAATCCAGCCAGTCGAGCTCTCAGCGGCCATCAGGTTGAGCCCGTGCTGGTCCCGGTAATCAGGTTTGCTGTCCTTCTTGTCCTCCTCCTCGGGCTGGGGTCCATCACCGGACTCGGCGGCAATGCCCGAATCATCACCCACTCGCTCCTCGTTCTCCTCCGGCTGGGCTCCCTTCTCAGAGGTGAAAGTGTAGCAGTAGTCCAGCTGGATCACCATTGGTGCCCGCTGTGGGTGCTCATGGGTCTCCGCGTGATCCTCCGATCGATGGGGAGACTGCCGGCTACGCCCTGCAACGCAAGCCTGGCACCAAGGAGCGAACGGCTGGTGGGTGATCGCGTGGAGCTCCTGCTGAAGGGGGCTTGGAAGCACCGGCGTTGGCAATGTCGTTGGGTCCCGGCCTTGCTCGTTGAAGATCCCACGCGCCACCTCAGTCGCAAGCTGCTTCTCCATGGTTTCCGCGTGGAGCTTCAGCCTTTTCAGCACCTTACTTTTCCCCCCTGAAGTTGGGATCCCGTGTTTGCTGCACACTTCCTTGAGGTCCTTGAGTGGCGTCTCCACCGAGAGGGCGATCCCATCCAGCACTTCATTGGCAGGACCCTGGGGCTCACGGTTCTTCTCACCCGGCAGGTCTTCGGTCCCAATGCCTCCTCCGTCATCCACCATAGGCTGCTGGGGCATCACAAGGTCCCCTTCCTCCTGCCAGTCATCAAAGATATCCCCAGAGTCTGAAAGGAGGGTGCTGTTCAGTTTGTCCACGTGGAACAACAGGATCACATCGTGGCGCGGCACAAGCTCCGGCTCGAGCTCGTTGATCACCTTGGGGTGGGCCTCGTACTCGTCGGTGGTCATGGCAAAGAACTGCAACCAAACATCTCCTGGCTTGGGGCTTGGTCCTCCCGGCCCCTTCCGCAACCCACGACCAATCCTCCGAACTCCACACCGAGCTCTCCAGAGGCAGCTCGGCAACATTGTGAGCCACGAAGACAGGAAGCCCAGACGGCAAGATGTGCCACCCCTGGCTGGGTGCTAGCTCCTCCAAGGGCGGTGGTAGAGGCCCAGAGTCCAGCAGCGCAATCGTTGAGACCATTGCCTCCATAGTCAGAGTGTTCCGCTGGAGCACGATGGGAAGAGCACAGTCGCCCCGCCTGACCACATTGGTGTTGCCTTCCATCCCGAGGCACCAGCCGCTCCGAAGAAGGCGCCCCAAGCTCAGAATGAAGGACTTGACGTCAGCAATCTCAAACCTCTCCTTCAGAGTCACAGGGGTGCCGCTGGTGCTCAAAATGTCAAGGCTGAGCATCCTTTGCCCTTGGTTGGGGATATGGTTCCCCTGGGCATCCCTCATGTAGATCCTGGGCCCCTCCGTTGGCACACCGCAGTTCCTGAACCGCGCCGGGGCGACCGACACGTCGGCGCCACTGTCCACCACCACCTTCACCGTCTTGCCCTGCACCTGGCCAGCACATATAGCCAGCACGTCTGCAACCTCAAAGTCGGCGTCCTCATCGTCAAGGGAAGCCCGGCCGGCAGACAGCCAAGGAGCCAGGGTCCAATCATCTTCCCCGTCGGTCCGGTCCATGGCAAAGGTGGGGACGAGGTTCTCATAGGCCGTCTCCGGGAAGACACCCGCCTCAATCACAAGCACCTCCGGGTCCTCAAGGCCAAAGGTCCCCTCAGCCTCCTCAACCCCGGAAATGTCAAAGAAGAGCGTCTCCGGGCAGCCATCCTCAAAGATCGTCGCCTCGACTCGGTTCACGGTGCTGGGCGTTCGGTAGGCCGAGGCTGTCGAAGTCGCGCCGCTAGCTGTCGAGGCGGCTGACGACCCGGCCGCCGAAGAGCTGGTCTCCACTTGCTGGACGCCCTTCTGCTTGCCCTTGGTCGGGCACTCCCATTTCCAGTGTCCTGGCAGCCCGCAGCTGTGGCACTTCCCAGGCATCTTTCCATTTCCCTTCTCGCTTCCCTTCCATGGTGGCAGCTTCCAGCCGCCGTCCTGCTTCCATCCGCCGTCTTGCTTCCATCCGCCGTCTTGCTTCCATCCGCCGCCTTGGCTCCATCCGCCGCCTTGGTTGCCATAGCCCTTGCCATTGGAGAAGGGATAGCCTTTCCCCTTTCCATCTTTGCTCTTGCCTTTTCCTTCTTTTCCCTTCTTTCCTCCGCCTTTGTCCTTGCCCTTCTTGCCCTTCTTGCCAGCAATGACGTCGACATCCATGGGCTGGGGCCCGCCATCTCCTCCTCCTCCTTTGCCGGTCTTTGCGAAGGCCTGGCTCCAAGGGGCATTCAAGTTCTCATATTGGAGAATCCATTCCCTTACGTCGCTGTACTTGGTCGCAGGGCCAAGCTTCATCTGGATCTGGCTCTTGAGGGGCTCCTTCACTCCCACCAGGACTGTGGCAAGAGTGAGCTCCTCAGGGAAAGGTTTTCCCGCAGCAATCTCATAGGAGCGAAGGGCTTCTTCATACTTGACCAATTGCTCGTGAAGCCCACTGCTGCCAGAAAACTGCCAATTTGCCAGCTGCCGCATCAAAGCCAGCGACCTCGTCTTGTCTCTGGGTTCCATCTCCTCACGCAGAACCCTCAGGGCTTCAAGGCCGCCCCGAGTTTTCTCCAAGCCGCCGCGGATCAAGAGAAGCGGCCGGCCTTTGATCACATTGCACAGGAAACCGTAAAGGCGGTGGCTTCTTGCTTTGCTCTCGTCATCAAGAAGCTCTGTATCCACAGCGTCGGTCCCAGCCACATCCTCAAGGTCCTGGGCATAGGCTGGGTCCACTGCAATCAAGTAGGTGCTCAGCTGAAAGTACCATTCCCTCCATGTGCGCAGTTCCTCCTCACGGCTCGTTGGCCTCCAAGCCTCCAGCTTGAGGGCTTTGGTGAGGCTCTCCGACTTGTGGTGGGCAGCTTGCTGCTCGGCTGCCTCAGCTGCTCTCTCAGAGGTCCTCAGAAGGCGCCCGAAGGCGCTGTTGAACGCCTGCTCCAGGCGTTGCCTCACCACTTGGTCAACTTGCTCCATGGGCACGGCTGTGCCTCCATTCCCATTGGTCCCTGGATTGTCCATTGCTCCCAAGGCCCAGGCAAGTAACAACCTGCCTCCCACAACGCTCTTTGCGCTCCTCGGCTCCCCAGGCCCGCACGCACTGAGGCCAAATTTGCTTCTCTGCTTCCACTCGCAGCTGAAAACTTCCTCCGGTGCCGCCCCTGCCAGGGGACTTACGCAAAACTCCTCCTCTCGCTCGCAGGCCTCTGTCCCAAGAGGACTTACAGAAAAAACTTTCGGGATTGGCGAAGGGCCCAGTAAAAGGCAGCCTTCGCAAGTGAGTGGGCACAGTAAAGTGCAGCCAGCCAGAAGCAGAGCTCTTATGCGGTGAAACTTTGAATTCCTCGGGCCTCCTAGGGGCACTATCGTGGGTAGGGCCTTGGAGGCTCCGCTACCATGCACGATTTTCCGCTGAATCCGAGGGCTGCGTCATTCGCATGTAAAAGCTTATACTGAGACATGGTCGGCAGGAGGTGCACATGTCTTACAAAAAGAGAAAGAAAAATAAAAAAAAAAACTCCATGACCCTAGACTTTGGGAGTTATGGTATATTCCTTTTTATAGGTAATCAACCGTATCACTTGTAGACCCGACTACAATGCGGCACGTTAACAAAGTATTCAAAGCACGTTACTCAACCCCTGGATGAGCAACGCCCACGCCACGAAGCGACACGTTTCAGCAGTTCAGCTGCCAAGAAACCCCGCGGGTTTCGGGTTTAGGGCTGAGTCTACTTGGAGGCAGGGGATATGTGTAACATGAAGCTGTGCGTATAACCGCGCTTCCAACCTGAGCCCAAAACGAAACTGTAAGCTTCAAAAGCGGGGACCAAGCCACGCAACCCAAAACACCGGAGAATGCTCAAGAGTTGAAACTGTTGAAACCCCGACTCCAAAACACAAAAAGCCTCAGCTTGCGACTTAAGGACTTGGGAGTCACATTAATCATACCTACCCGAAGCCGTAGTCTTGAGCATCCAGGCCTCTATATCAAGCCCCTGAACCGAAAAAATCCATCCTTACGCCTTACGCCAGCCCTGAACCTTTGACGCTGCGCCGGAAAACGATGGGGCCTAAGTTTTTTTGGAGTAATCCCACAGAGCCGAGCACCCCTTGATCACACTGGCTTTTCAAGTCCCTGGTCCCTTACGTAACATCAGATCCTTCTTGTCATTCAGATTGGGTTTGAGGGTATACTATAGTATAGTTAAGCTGTACAGATAAGATAAGATATGATAAGGGGATATCTTCGCTCATGGGCCTCTATATTCAGCCTGCACTCCAGACCGCGCACTGTGCGACGCATCTCCAACTGTCCAGAGTGGTCTGCCACTCGTCGTTCGCCACCCTGACAGCTCAGAGACTCCAATATCCCTTAATTACGGAATATACCTTAAATTATAGTAGGGTCCTTAATATGATATAAGGAATATTCCTTAATCAAGGGATATTGGAGTCTCTGGGAGGACTTGGAGCTTGAGGATTTAGGGCTTTAGGCCTACTTGTCGGGTATCATGGGGAACTAAAGGTTAACCTTTTTGCTTATATAGGGATTATAGAGGGACTATACTACCCAAAAACGGTTAAAGGTTACCTACTCTATTACAGGCAGGGCTTAGGGGCCAAGACTTGGAGTCTGAGCTTTTGGCTTGTGGGTTCGGGATTTGGGAGTTTCCGAAAAGTTAGGGGTACCTTATTTTGGGGCCCTTATGATAAGGATCCTACTATTTAGGGTACTATATTAGGGTCCCCTATTTTCGGAAACTCCCATGTGGGTTCGGAATTTGAGACTGGGGCAGCGCCTTGCCTGAACGGACGCCGCAACGTTCTAGTGCTTCGTATGCACTGTGCACAATGGGTCTTGTGAGAAGGGACCGAGGTCTTAGGGTTCTCGCAACAACGCCGCCAGCATTTATCAATGAAGCTAAACTGTGGAGGTTTAGGGTTCTTACGCCTTCCCCATCGGAGGGAATTCAACCGGCAGAGTTCGGAGGTATTGGGGGCACAGCTCGACCACTATGGCATGTGATTTTCTGCACTCATCGTACAAGTCGCATTGTACTGTAGGGCTTTGTAGCTGACTGGCTCAACACCGTCATTCGGCGCCCTCGACAAAAGCCTGGAGAAGAGAAACTGTAGGGAATATATAGTGTGCTGCTGCTGATGCTGCCCCTTACGAACCGCTGCTGCTACTACTACTACTACTACTACTACTACTACTACTACTACTACTACTACTACAATGTTACTACAACTACTACTACTATTACTACAATCATCTTAAGAACCCCTATGATTACAAGAAAAAGCCGCCTGGCCTGCAGCTGAGCCAACCGGACTTCGTGGCTACCGGAGGACCCCGCTCGGAGCGTCCCACGGGCCCTTCAGCCGTTTGACATTAGGATCGTTCTATAAGGGTTCTATGAGGGTACTTTCAGGGTACTTTCAGGGTACTACAGGATTTAGGGTTGAGAGTTCAGGATTGATTGAGGGCTCGCGGCTGAGTGTCCGCGGTCCAGGCTTCAGGGAAACCTAGTTGAGGGTTTAGGAGCAAGGTCCACGGCGAGGAGCCGTTTTACCTTGAACCCGTGACATCCCGTGACCATAGAAGTTCGTCAATCAGAATCCAAGATCTTCAGATTTGGATGCTATCTTGTTATTCTGTGCTGCAGCAAGCTGTTAGGAAGCACAACCCGTGGAAAGGCCCGTTCCCGGAGCCCCAAGCACAAAGCCTCCGGAGAACCCAAGAGCCTCAAGCTTTGAGCCTTATAAACCCTGAAACCAAAACCCACACCAAAAACCCCAAGCTTCCATCGAAGAGTCCTGGATGACGCGTGCAACCTTAGGTAACCACAGAAAGGAACCTGGGAATTCGGGGGATCTGCAGTCCAAGGATTTATGGGATTTCAGGAGGGCTCCTGGCGCTTGAGGTTTAGGCTTCAGGCTTTCGTCTAGGATGCCTCTTGAAATTAAATAATCAAGTGTATAGTTAACCCCTTGGGGCCCCCTTCATGAACAATCCCAAGGCCCTGCAAGGATCCAAAGAATCGAACTGAAGAAAGCTCGGTTTCAACCCATACCTGAGGAAAAAGCCCTAGTTGACCCACATCATAGTGGGAGACCGTTTTGGGGCTCAAGTTTGCCAAAATAAGGGCTATGAACACGCTTAGGCCCTCATGAAGCTCTGCGCAAGGGCGCTCTCAATAACAAAAAAAAGCTCGCAACAGAACCCTAGAGTTGACGAAAGGATGTTGGGGAGTCTCCGGCTTGCCTGAGGAGGCAATCTGCTCGCCCTTCGCCGCCTTGCAAGATGATGAGACTTTACGCAGCTTTAGGGCTGGGGCTTCAGGGATGTAGGGTGCTCTATAGTCTTTGGGAGCTAGGGCTCTAGGTTTCGGGCTCCGGGTTTCAGACTTGCGGTGCCAAATGCACAGGGACTTGGGGTGTCGGACAGACTTCAAGCATTCAGATCTCATGCTTGGCATCTCTGCACTAGCTCGACTTTCGGTGGCTCACAGGACCTTGCGACTGACATGATCCATAATCCCATAGTCACAACCCTCAAGACCTCACCCGTACCCCCCCCCTTCTATCTCTGGCCGAAGTGCCAGAGGACAGGACTTGGCATCCATACGGTTCAAGACTTGTTGTAAAAAGCTGGTTCCGTGAATAGAAAACCCTTAGAGCAGGAAAGGCTGCCCGACATCTTGATCTACCCCATATGAGAGAAATGCCAAACAAAAAGCCTTCCAACCTCTAACGCCTTGATTCAAAATGCGACCTTGTAAGCCCGAAGAAGCCTTCCAGACCATGAGTGAACGCCTTGGACCGCGCTGGGCCAGCCTGACTATCGCTGGGCACAGATTCGCGAGACCTGACTTGGACAACCAGCTGCTTCGTCCAAAGTCTCAAGAATACACACAGTGCCCAAATCAAGGCCCCGCAGTACTAAAAAAATGCACATTATCATCATGCGTACCCTAGACGGGACCCAAACTTGGAGAGCTGCCCGAATTTTGTTGCTATAAAACCGTATGCAACGCCACGAAAAGCACAGAGTCTTCAACAACTTCTGGGGTTGAGGCAGCAGAATTATTTGGGCGTCGACGGAGGGATTGGTGGGATCAGTGAACAAGGGCTCATTGGTGAGATGGCACCGACGATTAATTACGTAACCCAGGTCGTCGTGGCGTACCCAAAAAAGCACCATGATGAACCGAAGCTTTGAAAACCACCCCTGGCCCTGCGAACAAAGAGCTTGGACGAATTGCGACGAATTTTGCGGCGTCGTCCTGGAACCCTCGTCCGCGCAACCATGACCATGGGGAGCAAGCAAGGCAAAAAGGACGTACTCTTAAACAACGTGACTCGATTTTGCGGACGCTCAGGATACAAAGACTGCATGTACTGAAGCCGACTTCGCAAGCCAACTTTCACTTTGAGTCTGCTGCCTTCGTCCTGTCGGTGTTGCAATGAGATTTGCAAGCACATACAACAGAATCATTGATGTGAGATTGGAGGTTGAGCTGCTCCTCAGAGATACGTTGCGAAATGTCTGCGTTGCCGAGCTTGGGACTTTGCTGGGATGCCGGTTAGCACTCCAAAGGTGCTGCAAACACATGCAAACTAACAGTCAACACTACAGCGTTACTACAGTCAACACTGCCAAGTCTGCAAAAGCCAGCTGATTCACGATTCACCTGTGTAAGAAAAAATGCTGGATTTGTAAAGTGTTGACTGAATGTTGACTGTGCTTTGCATCTGTTCGCTCGCTTTACACGAGAAACAAAAGCTTATTAGCCTTATACTGTCCAGAACAGCAAAATGCTGGATTTCCTGCATCTTGGCAGCGCCATCTGCGCTGGTACCAGTAGCACTAGTACTAGTAAACGAATACCAGTAGTACTAGTACTAGGACTCGTGGTGGTAGTAGTAGTCGCCGTCGTAGTAGTAGCAGCCGTAGCAGGAGCAGCAAAGCTGCCATGAGCAGTCCAAGTCAAGCGGCGTCTTTGTGAACCCGGGGCCTTTCTAGGAACGTAAGCTCCCTAGAAGGCCTGCGGGACCTCAATCTCAACTGGCGGTAGTGCTCTCTCGGGGAAGCTGTGCCATTGAAGAGTAGTAGCTGCCGACTGAAGCGGATACACGTATTGATCTTCTGCTTGGAATGTGGCTTTTGAAGACGACAATAGCTCACGCTCATCCCGGTCCCAAGTCCGGGAGTGATGATGGAGAATGGGTACATCAGTGAAGAAAACCATCACTGGCGCGAGGGTTGGTCCTCACCCTCCGGAGGGCCTGAAATCATTGGTGCTTCGGCACCGGTGATGAAGCATGTATGAAGCTGTTCCACGCGTGGGCGGAGCTCAATTTTCCTGTATTCGAAAGAGTCTTACAAGCGTGCAATACGACTTGCACAGCCGCATGGCAAAACTAGGTACAGGGGCAAAAGACTCATCTCCACTTCTCCGGTGTAAACGGTATACCATCATAGGATGGAGGAGAGCCTGAAGCCTAGAATTCAATTCCTGTCTTGGAACGTCGGAGGGCTATCGGATGTTCTTTTCACGGAAATTATGCAGTGGTTACAAAAACCTGGAAATCAGAGCATATGCATTGTGATTCTTCAAGAAACGCATTGGAGTTTCAGTGGGGACTGGTCAACCAATGACTGGCACTTCTGCCATTCTGCGACAGGCCGGAAAGGCAGTGGAGGAGTGCTGATTGGTGTTAGGAGTTGTTTCGCGAACGCGCAACAAATTATCACAAATTCGCTGGCATGAAGTCGAGCCGGGCCGTCTACTGCAAGTGCGCTGCTTTCTTGGACTCCAGCAGATGGACATTTTCGGCTTTTATCAGTACTTTTTGCTCCAAAATTTGGTCAGACGGATATCATTATCTTCAACAGTGGAGGAAATTGCTCAACAAGCTGGATAAGCTGCTTTCGTCCCTTCCTGCGAGGTCCCAAACTGTATTAGGCGGGGACTTCAATGCAACTATGATCAGAGAGCGTGGCGTTGCTGGCTTCGGGTTGTTGCCTCGAGAGCTGTCGGAAAAGGAAAGAACCGATCAAGATCATCTAGTATGCATTCTCAAACAACATCATTTGGCCACGCTGAACACTTAGGGGAGAAAGGCATCGGCTGCCACTTATGTCCACGCGAAGGGTAGCAGCCAGATTGACTTTGTCTGGCAAGGCAGGGGGTCGCGGATGAGCTTGCTAAGCAAACTATGCCAATATGCACGGAAATGGCTGGATGGCGCACCACTGGGCATTGGCCTCTGAGGGGCTCGCTTCCACATCGATGGACGCCGTGTTGCAAAAAGGCTCGCCAGGAGGGAGCGGGAACTGCTGCATCGGATACTGGTCCGCTCTGTGCTTTAGCGCAAGAGGACACGAACAGCCCCGTTAGCGTGAAGATTCTACGGGATGCGGTCATGACTGCCGGTGGGGAAGCTCCGACTACAATGGTTCGACCAGAGCTGGCGCCAGTGGCAAAGAGCATCCGGCACTGCTGGAAACTTCGGCGGCAGATGGGAGTCTCTCAGACGCTACTTGGAGCTGGATTGGTATTTGTTTTCCGTTACTTCAGGGTTCGACTTCAGCATATGAGGGCGAGCTACAGAAGGCACTCAGGGCTAGGAAGAGACAAAGAGTTCTGACTATGCTTCACCAAGCGGAAGAAGCAGCTGGCCGCAATGATGTCCGTGAATTGTTTGGCGTTGTGAAACTGCTTTGTCCGAGCAAAACAATACCAAAAATTCGGCTGAGGGATGCTGAAAGGAATCTGATGAATGGAGAGGCAGAATGTCGCGCACTTGCAATATGCCAGATCGTTGTTGATGGCACCGACTCAACCTGCGCTTGAGCTTCTTCCGATTGCACCTGAAACGTTACATATATCAAGCTTTGGCGCAAAGCGGCGAGCAAGCTCAGCGCTGCGAAGGCTGCGCCCCATAAGACTCCCCCCCTTAGGAACTGGAAGCAACATGCTGGACATATCGTGCCCGTTGTGCATAAGCTTGCCGTTGAACATCTTTGTCGAGTGGATCCTCATATACCGACTGAGTGGACCGAAGTGCAACTGGCATGGTTGGCTAAACCACGCAAGTGTCCAAACTCCCCCCCACAAACCTGAGAACAGTTGGGCTCATCTGGGGATACCAAGTTGTTCATGTCCGTACTCAAGGAGGCAATGGCTGAACCCGTGTCGGCGGGACTATGGGATATTCCTCAGTTCGCGTATCGCAAGATGTCTAGTACCATTGACGCGCTCCTTAGAGGCAGCCGCCATTGTCATCAGGTTCGTGCGCTTATGGGAAATGTGAACACAGATGTCACTACGAGACTCATGACAGGAGACCTGCCGGGGTTGTGTGGGGGCTTGATGGTGAGCTTGGATCTGGCCAAGGCTTTTGATTGTGTTGCTTTCGGGATCATTTATGACAGTTTGCGGGAGATTGGGGTGTCTGATGAACTGGCGTCAAAGCCAGGACCTCATTCAACAGGAGGGAGCACTCCTTGTTTGGTTTGCCGATGTGCAGACTTTGCCGTTGTAGACTCTTTGATGGGGCGTCACTTGAGAGGCACTTTAGCGAGGGCAGGTGTCCACGATTGAAGCAGGCGGCAGCAGAGGGCATCAGCATTGAAAGAGTAATAGAGCAAGTTGTCGAAGATGAGTTGGCCTCTCCACCTCAACCACCGATCGCGAACATGCAAGCGCAGGCCACTCCCACGGCATTTTCGCCTGAACTATTGCAGTGTGATCTTTCACAGTTGGAGGTCTATTCCGAGGAGATTGCGAAGTACACCAAGGCATGTGCCCTTTGTGCACAGCAGATCAAGGCCACCGGACATGTCAAGAAACCCTGGCAGAGCACTCATAAAGCAGCGTGGGGCATAGTGCAGCAAGACGCAGAATCAGGTGCCCGGAGTCTTCGCTCGGTGTTCCAGAGGCGTGTCAATTTTGTGGCAGTCATGCAAAGCATGGTCGTGGAGATTCCGATCATCATGCGACTAAGTGTTCGCCTCTCTTTCAGGTGCTGGCTATTCGCAAACTTCATGCAGGTGGCCTGTTACGGGAGCACCTGAATATGATCCGAGCCCAGCTCTGAAGCAGCGAGAACGGGAGCCGCAATATAAGACCCTGGAGCGGACGGGAATCAAGGCAAGCTTGACGAAATGTGGCGGAGCCACTACTCTGAGCAGTGAAGTCCTTCGCCCCAGTCCGGTTCCACCAACGAGTCAACATGCCAGTCTTTAGTGAGGGCATCCAGTGCGAATGGCTGCCTTATTGCATGGTGGCAGGTGTGGTGCACTACGGCAACAGTCCACATTCTGGACACTACCGCGCGATTCTCAGCGTACAGGAAGGATGGATGCTCAGTGACGATGCGGTTGCAGCGTCGGGATGCGAGCCAAACACTGAGCATAGACGTGGTTTCTACACAGTCTGGCCCAAAAGAGTGAGAGAGGAAGCCTGCATCTCAGCGGCAGCGGATCATGGAGTTGGCGGAGCAGCAGGTGGAGCAGCCGATGGAGCAGGAGGAGGAGTTGGAGATCTGGTCAGCCTTTAAGCAGGCTGCCTCCGACGCCACTACGGGTGAGGAGGAGGACGCGCTGGATAAGAACATGGCCTCGAAGTTCCACAAACCAGAAGGCAAGGGCGATGCTCGTGGCTCGGAGTCGAAGCCTGATGGCAACAATCGTCTCTCCAAGGGCAATGGTCAACAGAGCGGTTTCAACAGGTCGAGGAATCAGAGCCAGTGGGGATCAAACCAGTGGCACAATTCCTTCTTGTGGCGGAAAAGTGATGACAAGGATCTGGAAACTCTCAAGTACCTGGTCAACCAGCTGGCAAAACTCTGTCTCAGACATGAGGACTAGGTCACTAGGTCAATTTGTGGAGGGCGGAGAGCTCCTTTGTTTTGTTTGTTCGCACGGGCATCCCTGGCTCACTGGTGCCGTCACTCTTTGCGGCAAAAGCCGAGTGGCAGAAACTTAAGGAGTCCCAGCCGGAGAAGGTCGAGCGGCCGATGCGTAACATTCTCTTTAGCTGTCTTCTCAGGGAGATGAGTGAGAGACTGCGGACCTTGCGTTATGACAGGGAAAGGAGAGTAAGCATGGAGAAGCTTGGCTGGATTAAGTGCGAGAAGTTCCAACGTCTCACATGGGACGCCAAAGCCAAGAAGAACGTGCCGGCGGAAGACAATTCGGCCATCTCCTATGATGATGTGCTTGTGTTGCTGCAGTCTTTGCTGACGAAGTGCAACACGATCGAGGCACTGTTGAGAACGCGACCTTTGGCGGAGAACATGCAGGAGGGCATGGTTGCGTTCTTGCTGCAGTTTTCACTTCAACATGAACACGGGCTGCAGATGTACGCAGACATGAGCCAACTCTGCCATTGTGGTTCCACGTTTGTGAGTGGAGTGGAGATCAAGCAAGAGAGAAGCACAAGGAGTCAACTGGCGAATCAGATCAGCAGGCTGTTGAGCCACGTGATGTGACTTGAGCAGCTGTGAGCAGCAGCAGGCGTGCTTGGCATTGACGGTGCGACGCTGAACTTTTGTTGATCCAGATGTGCGCAGCCTTGGGAGGTTCCGTGTGGATCTGGATGTCGGATTATTTGAAATAAATGATTGGGCGGGCTGGATCCCAGTGCTCCATCCTCCATTTCACAGTTTCACGTGCTCTGATGTGGGATGCTCTTCGCGCATCGCAGCAAGTGACGAACAGACGGATGACAAAATTAAGACGGATGGGATCATGAACATGCTGTTGTCGTCTATGTGCGCTGCGCTGGCCATCGGTGAGCTGAACCCAGGTCTATGGCGTGTGGGATGGGATGTTCTATACTGTGCCAAGCCCTAAGATGCGACGGTAACTGATTCAAGCGTTGGCCCGCCACTTCTGATTGATCTTGTGACGCGCCCTGCTCTGAGATGCTGGGCATCCACTGCAGTCACTCTTAACACGTGACAGACATTAGTGGCTTGCACGCGTACTTCCGTGGAAGCAAGGATCATCTTCGAGCGGGGCATAAGCCAGGGTTGCATCGCAAATTTCAGCCGGCAGCCACAGCTGGCCAAAGATTCCAATCCCGGGACATTGAAGAATCAGGACGAGGAGGTGACGGATGTCATCATGATGGATGTTTCCGATACGGACTCAGATGTGCAATGCTTGCAACCAGTACAGTTGCAGCGCACACTGCCACCCCAGTGCTCACCACCTTTGGAAGTTGAACTGAAGCGCAATGATCAGTTGATTGTGACTGCTTTTCATCTTCCTCAGAAACAATGTGATTCAACTCATGATTTCCCGGATTCAGCAGAAGAACTTGCGGTGCATTGCTTCATGAAGGGAGAAGTCACTTGGGAACAGATTGCGAAGCTTTTGGAGCTGTTGCAGGCAAATGCTAAGCTACGCCACATTGTCGGAGTCTCCCAAATCCTTCATGACAGGGGTGTGGGCCAGAGGACCGCAACATGGAATCACTCGCTCGCGCAAGTCATCCCAGTGTGTACCCCGACTTTCGTTTCAGCTCCTGCACTTTGTCAAGGAACATTTGTGCAAAGCCGCATCGAGACAGTCACAATGCCAAAGGTAGTTGGAACCTAGTGATTCCATGCTCGCACTTTGTGGGAGGCGAGATCTGGGTTCAGCAAGATGATGGGCAGCGCCTTTTGCAACCCGGGGGTCGTCCAGGAAACATGTGGAATGCAAGTACTCCTACGCGCTTTAATTCAGGCAGCTGGCATGCGACATCACCGTGGTCAGGCGTGAGGATCGTGCTCATCGGATACCACGTTAAACCGTTAAGCATGTGAATAAACTGCTGGCAGAGGACATGGAGAGACTGCGTTCTTTGAGGTTTCAGCCGGACCTTGATCTTGACTAAGGCTTGCAGTCAGCTGCGTAGGGACACGTGGCGGAACGCGCGGCCAGTACAAGTGATTGAAAAGTTGTTCGTGATGATTGACTCCGGTGCATGCTTGGTGAGCCTCCACAGATTCAAATCCCACCCAAACTCGCCAGCAAGGTCGATGCTTTACATCGTGCTTGAGGACCGGATCTACAAGGTTGTTTGCTCTTGATGAGTCTCCTCATATGGCAGGAGATCCAGGTACTGACGATGCCGTGACATGTGATGTAGATACAATGAGGTCAGCTTGCAATAGTTGACGATGTACAGTTAGTCTCCTTTGCTCCTGATTGAATATGATGGGGTCGGGGCCTGCCGGTCCACCCATCTATTATGCGATATGGTGCTGTCGGCACGATGTCGCAACTTCATTGGATGGCCGCTGTACACATTCCAACGTCATGTCAGAATCGGCTGAGTGTAATCTTTGAGTTCCAGTTACGGGCCTTGTGCGCTCCCCAGAGGAGCCGATGCCATAAGCATCGCCGGCTTCACACATAGGTCGCTCTTGAGCGGTTGCGCACGCAAAGCAAACAGCAGCAGCAGCAGCAGCAGTAGGCGCAGCCGTCGGCGTAGCCGCAGCGGTAGCGGTAGCGTTAGTGGCAGCGGTAGCGGTAGCGGTGGCTGTGGCTGCAACGATAGCAGAAGCAGCAGCAGCGGCGGCAGCAGCAGCAGTAGCAGTAGCAACAGCGCGAGGAGTAGCAGTGGGAATGGGAGTAGGAGCATGAGCAGTAGCAGCAGTAGTACGTGTAGTGCGCAGTACCAATAGCGCCAGGAGTAGGAGTGGGTATGGGAGTAGGAGCCGTAGCAGCAGCAGTTGTTGTTGTTGCAAAACCTTCCGCTCGGCCTTCCTCGCCCTCACCTGCAAAATGGATTTCGACGGCTTCTCGGCACTACAAGAACAAACCGCACGCCTGGGCAAGTATGAAAACCAGGATTTTATGGCAATGTCCAAGTGATGCTTCATGGCGCTCTGCATCTCACACAGCTTTTTCTGAAGGTGCTTAGTCCGAGAGGAGGCGGAAGTCCTCGAAGAGATTGAAGAAGCGATTTTTATCGACTTCAATTTCCGGCAAGCTTGAGCCACGCAATCTGCCGGCTTCCCAAAGCTTCTCGTTGATGTCAATCTCGCGGAACTCGTTCTGAACCACAGTATAAAGGGCATGCAGAGTCCCGATGTCTTTCACGTGCACCCGAATCAGCATCTCTGAGACCCCTGAAGCAAGCCTCGATGGCTGAACTTCTGGCTGTACCGCAACATTGCCTGTTCGGGACAGGCACTGGCTCAAGATCTCGACAAGCTTTGGCAGGCCTTAGCAGCGGAGACTTGCACACAACGAAGAGTATTGATTAGCTGCTTCAGCTCCCGCTGCTTGTTCTGCCGCCCTGTTGCAGCTGCTACTGCTGCCGCAGCACCTTTACTCTGGCTGCGACACACTAAAACTGCCCTTCTGCTCGCAGTCTCAGGCTCCGACCCAAAACGTCCAGAATCCTCTGCATGGACATGGCAGCGTCCATCACGTACTGGGTGTCGATCATGTCCCCTGTGTCACATCGCACCGTCCAGCTCACCTGCTCCTGACCTTTCTCATTCACTTCCTTCTTGAACTTCGCAACTGTACCCCTTCGCCACTCTTTGGTAGCGTCGCACCAAGCATCGACTTGTGTGCCCTCCGGAAAGGCTCCCGGAAGAAATGCAGCAGCGTCGACCTCTTCATACTCCCATCCTTCCTCGTCAGCTGTGGCCAACTCGGTCTTCTGCGAGCCCCCAAGCCCAATCCCATCCCGCAACTCGAGTGTCGGGAGATCCTTCATCCTCACCTTGCCCCGGCCAACTTGACCTGCGAAGAACACGGCCTTAAGCCGCTGCTTATGCCTTACCGCTCTGTGAACGTTCTCTTTCCAGCGCTTGTACCAATAACAGCCCCATGGTTTTGCCTCGCCGTAGATTCTGTGACAAAGGCACAGGGCTTTGTTGTCATCAGGATCCGGACAGTGGCGACCTTCACCTGGGTGTGGGATTTTCAGACTCGTCGTGAGTGGGTTGATCAGTTAAGCTGTTAAGCTGTTAAGCTTGGTTGGATCAGAGAACCAGAAACCCCGGGTTGATTTGGGGTGTTACCCTACCCGGATGCCTCATACAAACTGATAAACAACTCCCTTTTCAGCCAACGGGAAACCTCTACACCTCGTGGCCAGCCTACGAAGCCGCCTAAGGCCCAGACCATCTTCCGGAGTGCATAAGAAGACGCAGGCGACAGAGTCTGTCGTCTGCGCGGTCAAGGCATCCCATCCTCCTGTCAGCATTGTCTACGAAGTCTCTGCGGAGGAACGGAAACTGTTGCAGATTGTGTTACTGGGTATTTTCTGTCAGCTTGCCCGTGCCGGAGCTCCTTTGTACTTGCCCGGAAACGAAATCCAGCAGACGTCGGCGTCATCCTTCTGGTAGCCGTTGTAAGTGATCTTTTCTGACCGGTGGGCCGGACGCTCCTTGACTAGGTGTCGAAGCTTGCAGCCATCAAAACTGGAGAGTTCGGGGTCTATATTCAGGCGGATTTTCATCATCCAACACGGACGCTCCTTGATGGTCAATCGAAAAGTTTCCATTGACCGTTGAAGGTGGGCCTTGTTGGCCTGCACACAAACACGCGCATCCAGAGCAGCTTCAGAGCCCTAAAAGCATGGGCATCATCCCCGAATGGCCAAAGGCACTCCCAGAAGGGTGAATGTTGAACGAATGATGATGTAGGACTTAAGACTTAAGTCATTGAAGGGCACACTGTCACAGTTTCAGACAAGCATTCGCCCAAGGACCCGGCCTCCAATGGGTCAAACTTGAGCTCGGCGATACGGATAGAGACTTCGTTGCTTGTGGTGTCCCAAACACTGGAACTAGCCTTCTCATCTTTCTCATCTCTCTTCCTAACACTACTTGCCGGCCACCTCCACTGATGCCCTGAGAGCGGGAACTCCGATGGCTTCGTGTTGGTCTCGCGACCTGCGGCCGGCCTTGTCGCGAACTCCTTGGGATCATCTGCGATCGCCACAGGCTTCTTCTCCTGGATGGTGGCTCAGGAGCTGAGTTTAACTCTGTCTCTCTTTGCTTTGCTTGCTCGGGGTTTGAGGCTGCGACAGTCCCCGCGTCCCGTGCGTGTCGCGCTACCCCATCCACTATTTTGCGTGGATGGGCTCGGCTGTACGTAAGGTTGGTGCCCGTCTTTGGGCTGAGCCGCGATCTGGTACCTCTTGACGAATGCATGGGATGTTCATGACCTAGAGGATTTGATACCCGAGTCGCCTTCGTCGTGCCTCGGTTGTGTCTTGGCTGACCAGCTTGGTTTGGGTCTACAAGCTGGTCAAAGCTATAAGTCGGACGATTAGGTACACTCACGGTAACTGGCCAAGTAAGTCACCGGTAAAGGTGTGTGCCCCGCCTGTGACCTGGTGCCTCCCAACCCTGCCTCACTCCGAACTCCGAACTGGAAGCCTGACCCCTGCTGAGCACTGCCTGTGACCTTCCACTGAACCCTTAAGCCTCGGGTCACCCTGTCTTCCGATTCGAAACTTCGGACGTCACTGCGGAGACATGGTGCAAAAAGGATTTGGTGCCTCCTGAGAGTCACTCCGCTCGTCCCACACAGAAAGCAGGTAGAATAACAACTCTCTCTCTCTCTCTCTCTCTCTCTCTCTCTCTCTCTCTCTCTCTCTCTCTCTCTCTCTCTCTCTCTCTCTCTCAGCTCTCTCGAGGGGCGAGAACCGAATCCAAGTCTGGGCCGCCTGTCTGGAGCTCTGCAGGACAAGCAGGCTCCCTTTGTGTTCATCTTGGGTGCAGTAGTTGCTTCCATTGGAGTATTGTAGGGTTCATCACCGACCCAGTGGGAGTGCAGATCAGATAATTTTTGTCAGGTAGGCTGCATATCAAAAGAGTGGGACGTTCGTAGACCTTTGGCGGGGCGCGGTTATGAAGCAATAATTGGGGTCTGTTGTAAGCTTCTGACATGACAAGATCGGCCCAATAAATTCTCGGGGCGCCTACTCCACGACGGGCCATCCGCAAATAATCATGGGCGGAGTTACAACAGAACTTGCTCTTGAACTGGGATTCGTGGCGCAGCACGCGGCCCAAGTTCTACTGCAGTCTGTGTATTTTGGGTGAGGGTGGTTGTATCTCGGGCATGTGTTCATGGACGAGCCTCCTAAGGTACTCAGCTAAGCGATCAGCGCGTGTGCTGCCCTAGGTTCCTGCGTGGCCTTTGACCGTAAGGATCGTTGTATCCATAAAGCGTGTGCTGCGAAGGAAGTAGGACCACAAAGGTGGAGTGAGCTCCGAGTGCGCATTTGGAAAAATTTTGTCATGGAGGGGGTAATGTCAATAGAACCATGGCGACTGCCATGTGATCTGAGAAGGAATAATTGTGACCTGGTGCGATCTGTCGTGGACCAAGGCGTGGCCGATGACTGCAAAGTCTGATACTGTGGGGGAGTTAGGAGTAGCCTCGGGGCGAGAGCTAATTTCGCGATTGGCAACCAGTTGTGTAAGAGGTCTTTTAAGTTTGGTGAGGTCCCAGCCTCCACAGCCTCGACTCCCACAGCTTCCGGCTTGACCTCGAGCCCTTTTCTCGTCGGAGATTCGGATGGGGCCCTCTGCTGCGCCTCGATGTTGATCCTGGCAGCCGCGGCAGAGCTTTGCGGAGTGGCCTCCTCTGTCCGGAGCTGTCCGTGCTCAAACTTCACGGCCCCCAAGAACTCGAGCCAGCCCCCTCGGATATGTTCACTAACGACAATGGCCAGAAGCTGGGCCCTAGTGATGCCTTTGTAGAGCTTTGCACGAGTTTTTAGATCCTCCTCTCCACCGATTTGCGCATCGAGGCCCACGCACACCACAAACATCTGCTCCAAGCCGTCAGCAGCATCCACGGTGTCGAAAACGAGGCGCTCCTCCGGCAAGTCGTGGGAGCTGCTTCTTTGAAGACGTTCGGGAAGAAAACGGAGGGACTCTTTGAAGGACACCAGTTCAAAGTGACGACGAGGAAACCATTGGAAGAGATCATGCTTCAGATAAGCCTCAAATCTGTTGAGGAAGGAGTGATTGGGCACAAGGATGGCCAGCCGCCGATGGAAGCGGATGCCCGGAAATTTCTGCATCAAATGACAAGCTGCTTGGACAACGTATTTGGCATACTCCTCGAACAGCTCCTTTTCCCCCAAGGCCGCTTTTCTGAAAATGTACGTTTTCAAGGGCAGTCCATCAGTGCCCACTGATTTAACCACCGCCGCAGTCTCTGCCTTGTCACCGTCTGTGCCCAATTGAAAAGCCGCAGCTCCCGACACTATCCGTTTTGTGCTCCGCACTATCTCTGTAAGATTGACGTGCTTCGTGAGATAGGTCAGATAGAAAGGGTAGTACTGTAGGGCCGCAGCGGACTGAGACGCATCGGAAAGAAGAAGAAGAAGCCGGTGGCACTGGAGGCGCACCTTCGCCATGAAATCATAAGAATCATTAGAAACATCCGGCCGGAAGATGTTGTGACACTCGTCCACGATGACCAAGGCGAACCTCTCGTGAGCCTCCACAGGCTTCAGGGCCTTGAGCTCGATGAACCGGCTCGTGGTTTCAGTGACGTCCGGCTGGTAGCAAGTCGAATATCGTCCATCCTGTTCATAAACTACGATCATCCTCGAGAAGGCATCACGGATCTTTGCCATGATGTACTTCCGAGGAATGAGAGACGCTAGACGCATGGTCATCCATTGTAGAAAGTGGTAGACCAGCTCCTTGGAACGCGTGATGTAAATAACCCGTCCTGATGAGGCATTGTTGAGAAGGTCCATGAGAAAATGGATGGCAAGGAAGGTCTTTCCTGCGCCGGCTGGAGCAGCCAAGTGAATCTTTGTGGCACTCTGCATCTCGGTTAGCTTTTCCTTCTGATGCTTGGTTAACTCCGAGAGGGCGAGGAGGCTGTCCTCGTAGAGGTTTAGGAAGCGCGTCTTGTCGACCTGAACTTCCGGCAACTTTGAGCCTTTGGCGGCTTCCTTCAGCATCTTGTTGATATCCTCCTCGAGCGCGTTATTTAGAACCTGCTCCCGGAAGGCATGCAGAGATTCGATGTCCTTCACGTTTACCCGAACCAGCAACTCTGACACCCCAGATGTCAGCCTCGATTGCTGCACTGGCACTTCTGGCTGCACCGTAATATTGCCCGTTCGGGACAGACACTGTGTCAAGATCTCGACCAGCTTTGGCAAACCTTAGGCAGACACGAACGTAAGCTTCAACACATTGATGACGCATGACTAGCTACTTCACTTTTGCTGCTCGTTCTGTCACCCCTGTTGTCACTGTTGCTCTCGCTGCTGCCACTGCTGCCGCAGAATAGATAATCTAACTGTGCCATGCCCCTACCGCAGCTGCTCATCTGCTGCTTGTAGTCTCAGGCTCCGACCCAAACTGTCCAGAATCCCCTGCATGGACATGGCAGCGTCCATCACGTACTGGGTGTCGATCGTCTTCCCTGAGTCGCAGCTCACCGTCCAGCTCATCTGCTCCTGACCTTTCTCATTCACTTCCTTCTTGAACTTCGCAACTCTACCCCTCCGCCACTCTTTGGTAGCGTCGCACCAAGCATCGACTTGCGTGCCCTCCGGAAAGGCTCCTACAAGAAATGTAGCAACGTCGACCTCTTCATACTCCCATCCTTCTTCGTCAGCTGTGGCCAACTCGGCCTTCTGCGAGCCCCCAAGCCCAATCCCATCCCAGAGGTCGACTGTCGGAAGATCCTTCATCCTCACCTTGCCCCGGCCAACTTGACCTGCGAAGAACACGGCCTTGAGCCGCTGCTTCCGCTCTACCGCCCTCTGAACGTTCTCCTTCCAGCGCTTGTACCATTCGCAACCCCATTCTTTCCGCTCGCCGTATATTGTGTGACAAAGGCACAGGGCCTTGTTGTGGGGATCCGAAGAGTGATCGCGAAGGCCTCAGTGCGGGCAGCATGCTGAGACGCCTGGAGAATGTTCGGACTTGTGGCAGGCTGCCAATCCTGCGAAAATATTCTGAAACAAGACCCTCATACACCCCCAGTAAAGCGAAATGTAGAATAGGTATGCCTACCCGGCCACTTCAATACTGCATCGCATGATCCCCCAAGCACGACAGAGGAAAACAGTGTTGGCCTGCCCACATGTGAGGCACGAGTCCCACCTCCCAGCCAAAGCAACCGAAGCCGATGCCACGCGACGAAGGGCTCTGCTTAAAGTCTTGGGCGTAGTAAGAATGATGGTTTAATCCGGCATACTCGGTCCCGGATGCGTTAGGTTCGTACCGAGACCCAGACCATCTTTCTCTGTGCATAAGAAGACGCAGGCGACAGCGTCCTTTGTCTGTGCGGTCAACGCATCCCATCCTCCTTGCGGCATGTTCAACAAAGTTCGACGATTCTACGAAATATGAGCTCTCGCAGATGTTGCTACCAGTACCCATGCTGTGTGACGTGAAGCTTGTTTAAGCCGGGACTCCTTTGTACTTGCCCGGAAAAGAAATCCAGCACACATCTGAGTCATAGTTCGAGTCGCCGTGGTAGGTGATCGCTTGAGATGACCGGTTTGCCGGAGGCTCCTTGACGGTCAATCGGAAAGTTTCCACAGACGTCCATCGTTCCTTGCCCGCCTGCGCATCGGAGGCAGGTTGAGCGGGGGCCGTCATACCCATCATACCCCAATGGTGAAGGGGTTCCCAAAAGGCAACTCAAGCACAGGCTATCCTGCTCCTGCTTGGTTTCCAGCGCACTCATCTTTTTGAAACGATGTGCCTGCATGGGACATGCAGCCAACTGATATACAGGATGCAGGAACAGACAGGAGGACGGCCTGCGCGAGCTGCAAGCCTCCACACATCCACTTTTCATAGCAAAGGCCACAGAGGTCAAAGTCCTCGCAGTCTAGGCTCTTGTAGCGAGCGCCCCTGATGGGATCCTCGGCAGGCTCAGCCAGCATCGACATAACGAAAAAAAGAACACACTTTTAGACAGCTCCACATCCAGGCCACTACTTCGTGGCTCAGCAGGGTTCCGCCAGAATTTTGCCTGATTCCTTGCGCCAAGACTCCATTTTGCAGTCATGGCAGATGGTTCCCTTGTGCACCTGAGTCACCTGAGCTGCCGAATTCTTGCGACAGTCCGCCTCGTCCTGGAGCCTACTACCTCGAGCTCTCCACTTCAAACCTCAGCACGCCCCCCGCCTCTCGGCAATAACAGAGCAGTCTGCGGAAGCTCCTGGCAGCACTTGGCCACATCATGTCGCATGGCGGCCCCACTTTCTACCTCTTCAGCCATGGAAATGCACTGTACCCATGCTCGCGAACTTGCATGAACGTCGCCTGCAGCAGGCATTGCCGCATCCTCGACGCGCCTGCCAGCATGCACACAGTGAAGATGCGCAGGCAAAACATGCAAGCTCTGAATGCTCAACCACAACGGACAAACCTCCACGGTTGACAGGGACTCACACTGACCCCATCAGGAGAGAATATTGGGATCACACGAGGCGATCAGACTACGTAAATTCCTTCATTCGGCCTGCTCTCGACAGCTAACGACCTGCACATCCCGAAAACCCCGAACCAGAAAGGGAGTCATCAATACCTCACACCCGGAATCCTGATTCAAAGCTGATGAGCACAGGTTACACTCCGAAACGTCCTGCACACCCAAGGAGGAACATCCGTGGCTTAAGGAAAGCTGCGAAGCCCGAACGTGAAAGTGCACACCTTCTGCACTGTGGGCATGGTGCTTTTCGTCACAAGATCGAAAGATTGCACCTGTCGACACTTTACCCGAAATCCAAGATCCCACCATACCCCCTGGAAAGGACCTGGATCTCAGCTGAGGGTGGCGGGCCTGGCAAGGTGAGCTCAGCTCAGGCTTTCAGGTGCCGCCTGCTGCATTAGAAGAGGCTCCTAATGCACATTGATTTGTTGACCCCAGAGCTCTTGGAGGATCTCAAGAGCGCATCCCTTATTCGTATTCCAATAATGAATTCAATACTAGCATGGGGCAGATTACGTTTGGAGCAAGAGAAGGAAACACACTGTCAGAAACTCGTGGGTCAAAGCCTGTGATGCAAACAGCCTGTGCAACCCTGGAACTTCTCGCACTTGGGACGTCCATCACACCAACCCGACAACTTAGATTCCAAAAACCTACTTAGAGTTAGATCATGGGACTTAGGAAGTAGGGTTATAAGTAAGGCAACCATAGTTATATCTACTTATAACCCCAATTAAGGTACTTATAACCCTACTTACTAGGTCCCATGGTCCTCTAAGTAGGGCTTCAGGGCTTAGGGCTCCCATGCTGTACGGGTCCAAGTATCCCTTTTGCCTTCACGCTACTGCATGGGAAGTATTCTATGGCCCAGGTTTCCGAACATAAGTGCCCTGGACGTTTAGGGAAAATGCTGAAGTAACCTTCATGTCTCAACCCGAAGCCCGAAGAGACCTGCTGGAGCTGCGGTGGCCTCAGAGACAGGGCCACTGAGAGTTGCGGCTTCCCGGTCTGGTGGCTCACGCTTGGGGTCTCCGGGGATGGGGGTTTCGAAACTTACTTGACTAGACTAGACTTGTAACTGCGGCTTCCTTCCGTCAGGTCTGGCGCTACCAGTACCATGCTGGGAGGTGAAGATCGACACAGTGTTCGGACAAGCAACGCATGACCTGCTCAAAACGGAGGCGGAGGAGGAGTTGAGTAAAAAGCTAATCCACGATGAGCCACATTCTCCGGAGCAGATTAACTTTTCTAGCTCAGCACAGTCGTGGCACATCTGCTGGGAGCCGTGCTTCCAGCTGCCGTGCCGGTTTGGTGGCAGCAAACTCCTGCGCAGGGGGCCAGCATCCTTGTGAAGAACAGTTAATTCGAGCCCACAGACTGTCGATGGCACCACCATGACTACTTCAAGGTAAACATAGCACGAGCATCACGTTGTAAACATGGCACGTGCACTCCCGTCAAGCTGACTTTCAAGCCTTCAGAAAAAACTTGAATGACTCTTCGACGCAAGGAGTACACAAGCTTCAGCTCAATGCTTCGAAACCGATGACCCCTAAGCCCTGAAGCCTACGTCGCGAGCCCAACGTTCATCTGGCTGGTTTTCTCAATCTAAAGTCCTTGTAAGGTCCTTCTTTCCACAGTGACGCATCCTTTGGGGGATCCGCCAAAACCATATATATATATGTATATATATATATACATATATATATATATAAACTTTCAGAAACGCGGAAGACCCTCATAAGAGTCCGTGGTAGGAACCCTCATAGAACCTTAGAATCCCAAACCCCAGCCCCTAAACCTTCAACCTAAAAGCATAAACCCTCATCTCTAAACCCTCATAGAACCCTAAAAAAAATGCTTCAGGTTGCCAACTCGAAACGACAGGAAAAGCGGCTCACCTCCAGTTCAATACCCGGCAGGTCCTCGGCCAAGCTGCAGAGACGTTTTGCGGGCATACGGTATACGACTTTAGGTGTTTAGGGCTCGCGACTGCAAGGCGTTCTCGGTTTCAGGGATTTAAGGCTTGGGGCTTCGGGGTTTGGGGTGTCCAAAGTCTGGATCACGAAATCGGGATGATGGCGTGCTTCGGCCGCAAGCTTGCAGTGCGAAGTTCGAATATTTAGAGGAGTCGAACACCACTTGCCCATTGGAAAAACACATGTGCAACAGATCCGAACATCCAGTCAATTAGTGATGCTCGGGATCAGAAGCCTTCGATGGCCTTCCACCTCATGACTGCCAAGGCTCCGATCCTCCACTCGCGGGGCCTTCCGCTAAAAGTGGCCGATGCGAATCGGTCCTGCATCACTGGTGCCAGCTGCGCACCCGGACGTTTACTGTGCCCCTGCAACAGCAATTCTTCCCCAATGTAGGGTAGATTTCGGTACGGAATGAAACAACAAGTGCGGTCCTAGCTTGGCCCGCTTGGCCGGAAAGCGTGGCCGCGGCGGCTGAGCTTTCCGACATTTTTCACGGCTCGCTGGGCTCTTCGTAACCGAGTCTGGTCAGAACGAAAAATGTGCGCTACTCCCTCCGTGCCCTTTCTATAGAGTGTTTTTCTGCTGTTTTACTGAGTCAACAAACTGTTTGTGTTTCATGGTGGTCGCTCTGGGACCTTGTCGGCCATGGACCTCCGAGCCCAGTCCTTTGCTCTTGGAAAAACCTCGTTTGCAACTGTACCTCTGCGAATGACTTTCAGCTTACAAGGAACCAACTTCTTCGTTGGTGCTGTCCAACTGAGCATGCTTTCAAGAATTGGGTGGTTCTTGTCTAACTCCAAAAGTAAGCCGGGCTGATCATGTTGATGAGCACGTTGAGGCGTTTTCAAGAAATTCAACACAACTGTTTGCAATTAATCTGCTTACACCGTTCCATCTGTCTGACTACTGGTCTGCCACACACCAAAAAGGCCCCTGTTTCATGCCGGACTCTGGACTCTACACTTGGTTTTCTTTCATTTGCGCTTAAGCCTTCTGGAAAAGGTTCCACTGTACACAATAGGCTGGATGTTCAATGTGGTGTGGATTCGCACCACTTCCGCCGTCGTAAACTGCGGACCCCTCCAAGTGCGGGCGCGAAGCTATGACGAAACTCCCTTCGAAACAATGGATTGGTATTCGTGCGGGGGAAACTACTGTGCGGCAACAAATCTGGCGTTTCATAGTCTGTCAAGCCTCCGGCTACTATAGTCGCTGAAGCGTTGTATGGCGCTTGCCACGACTTGGCCCCGAACGTAGCAAAGCACAGGACGAGAAGGACACGCACTGGTTTTGTCCTCTCGTCTCTTGGCAGGTCGTCACCAATCTCGCTCTTGCGATTCGAAGAGGCAGATCACTCGGACCGCGCCAGGGAAATGCGTGTTCGCGATGCCTCCTCGAAAGCAGAGCCAGGCCAGGGAGCAGCGAAGCAGAGCTACTTTGCAGTGCAGTACTGCCAAGGGTAAACAAACACAAAGTCGGTTCTGAGTAGGATCATAATAGGGCTAACTCGATTTAGGGTACTTATCACTCTACCTACGAAGCGCGATGGAACAAAAACACGGAAGGCCAGGAAGCCCTGAGACAAAGGCTCTGTCCTTCGGCTTTCCGCGGTGCATCAGCAAAATACCCGTACCTCGCTGAGGGAGATTTAGCAGACATCACGTTTCTGCAATGCGGCTTACACTTACACATTCGAGGAACCGGGCATCAGCAAAAGAGCGGGTGGAACTACAAGCGCGGGATTCCCAGCAGCCTGCACAGAATCGGGCTCCCAGATGCAATCAGATGAAGCAAAGAAATTGACACGGCACAAGTCACATCCGGCAAAGACCATGCCAGCCCGGCGGGCTCAGGTTGCCGCAGCTCCTCGCACTCAAGCCGCCGTGGTTTCCTGCGCGCAACTGAATCACAACTGCATTAAGGCATCGACACTCGGACCTGCACACCGAATTGCCTGGGGCAGACTTGGCGAATGGTTCGGCCTGCCAGTCAGCTGCGCAACACAGTCGATCCCAATCCCTGTGTAACCGGCGCCGTTCGAACCGACTCCGTGGGAAACACGAGGTCCAGGTTTGTGCTTGGGGCAGCGAGGTGCGGAACCCTAAAGCCTGCGCCCACAAGACGTTGGAAAACAGAGCAAGAACCCCAAGCAATTCTCCGATGAAGGAAGCATGCAAAGGATTCAACGACAGGTCGTTCAAACATGCAAGCGGCGACAATGACATGCAAAAGGCCACGGCACAGCTCTCGGAGCCTGGCATCATCATGGTCCGCCAGGAGCAATCACCTTCTCCGGCCTATCGACGAGATGGTGCACCAGTAGCAGGGCACCTGCTCCAAACTTCTGAGTCGGTGTTGGACAAGCAAAAGAAACTAGAGTTACACGCAGTGAATTCGCATGGCCATTCTCACGCTGCCAAGGCCTCGCAGCCATGGTCTGACGGCAATGGAGATGCGCAACGACCTCAAGAAGAAGACTAAATACGTGCATAGTAACCTTCATTGAGCTTTGTATCACCACCTTCATCATCATGGTCATCCTGATGTGTATCATCGGCTTTCATGCTGCATCATCACCGTCATCGCGGTGTGCATCAGCACCGCCGTCGTGAGCTGCATCATCAGGCCAAGACATGGGCTGCATCATCACGGTCATGATTTGGGAGTTTCCGAAAACTAGGGGGTACCTTATTCTGGGGTCCTTATAATAAGGATCCTACTGTTTAAGGTACTAAATTGGGGTCCCCTATTTTCGGAAACTCCTATTTGTATGAGCAGGCGGATGCAACTGTCGATTCTTTCCATTCCAGACACTGCTGCGGTTCTTCTGCACAGAACAGGCTGTAGCTCACTTTGCGATCATGCCAACCTGTCTGCCAAAAGAAGCTTGGAACTGAATCAGGCAGAAGGCATGCGAAGCGCTCTGCATTGTTTCAACGAGGCCTCCCCTTCCGATGGAACCCGGTCAAGGCTGCATGCACCGACCAAGGATGCCAGTGTGGTCCAACTGCGCAGAGATGCGTGAGATTGTCTGTATGAGATCCCGAAAGCCTTAAGCTCACTCATTCACTGGCGTCCGAGGTCCCGCGATCCCTGAAGGAAGGAGGCACTCGCCGAATCAACATGGAATGCTCACTCACATGACTCGCGGCCACAACCCGAAACTTGAATCGAGGAACGGCCATTTCTTTGAAAGGCCCTTCGGCTCACCAGTCACATTCGTACACTGCCATCCCGGTCTCATCCGTATTCTCGTCGCCGTAGATGACAAAGCGGTTTCCATTGGCGCCCCACCGGCGGCGGAATCCCCAGGAGTGATCGATGCGCCGGCGGGTGTCTGGACATCGCCACCAGACATCCTCCGATCCAACGGAATCAGACATAAAATAGCGGACATGAGGGTTCAGAAGGGCTAATTCACAACAATGCACTGTGCTAATCCCGGTCCTGGGTTTTCGAGAATGTCGCATGCCTATATATTCTGCTCCCCTGGGACCTATCCCACAGATACCACGGGCTTGTAGAGCGCTTCTCTGTGTTGGGGCCCTCGTCGTACCTGTAACGAGTATCTAAGGGAACGTAGCCCCGGACGTACAAGTCACCTGTGCATCTCCGCTCATGGGTGCTTTTTGGCTGCCCGCAATTCGGACCAATGTTTGCTGTGTCCACTCCCGTGAGCTTCTCGGGATCGGAGTTCCAAAGCTTCTTGCGCGGCACGACTTCCAGGCGCACTTGCCACCGGACCGTGAAGAACCAAAAGACTTTGGCTTTGAAACCTGCAGAGCCTGTCACTTCAATTTCGTCGTCATGGCTGTTCTCATCCTCGAAGTCGGGCCCCAGGTTGAAGAAGCGGGCCTTCAGTTCGACGTAGGCTTCGGCCCGGAAGAGCCCAAACAAGATGTCCACTTTGATGGTCCCTTTGATCTGGCCCGTAACGTCCACTGCATCTCGACGGCATACTTGGCCTTCTCAACTCTGACGCAGCCTTGGATCTCGACCTCCATCTTGCCGATGATGATGTTCACGCCCCCGCCAAACTTCAAACACATCTCTCCTTCGAAATCATAGTAGGTGTTCCCACTGATGAAAGCCACCGTCCAGCCCTTTGCATACCCCCAGCACCCAATTGTCACATAGGCGGCTCCAACTCCGATGTTGGCTTCACCGCGGGCACTGCCCTCCAAGGAGGCCACCTGTGCGACGAGCAGACCACGACTTGTCGGAGAGGTGGAGTAGAAGGAGCCCCATTCCATGTTGAAGTCGAAGCCGTACTTGCTAGTGCCGAATCCTTTCTGCACTTGCTTCTTCTTGCGGTAGTCCACATTGTAGCCACCCCAGCTGTAGCGTGGGATTCTGGAGTAGAGTCTGCGAGCCGTGTCGTTCTCCAAGCTAAGCCCTTCCAGATCGTTCCCATCTTGGCTCTCCGCGAGCAAACGCGCTGCAGGGTCGGATTCAAGGTCTGAACTGTCGGAGCTGTTCGTGCCTGACGCGTTCAAGGGCGTTTCCAGGACCAGGTTCCAGTAGCTCTCGTCCATGAAGAGCATCTTGCAAGCTTCGGAAACACAGACTTGGTTCAGCGCCTTGTAGAACTCGAGAGTGGAGACGTTCTCTGTAGCGGGGGTCTGCTCATCGTCGTCCATGATGGGTGGGATCAATGTGAAAATCTCCGGGCTGTGGCAGTCCATCACATCGATCCGCCTTTGGAGGTCTTCAAACTCGGCTTCGTCCACCTTGTTCTCGTAGCTCGTGAAATAAGCCCTGGGACTCTCATCGATGTTGGGCATAAAGTACTTGTGGGGCATGCCAGTGGCCTGGTCCTCCCAGTACTCGACGTAGGCCTCCTCCTGGTGAACCTTCTCCCGGTGGTAGAGGATGTATCGGTTGAAGGTTCGCCCTGGCTCGCTCTTGTAGGATGTGGTACCAACTGCAGAGACTACGAAGTCCTCCATGTTGGTCATCATGTCCTCTTCATCCTTGCTGGGCCTAGTGCTGCAGTGGGTGGCCTGAGTGTTGTTGAAGATCTGCTTCTGGACCAACAGCTTCTTTTCGAAATCGTGCACAGACAACAAGGACATCATCGGGTAGTTCGGCCAAGTCTGGATCGTAATGATCTTCTCCTTGCTCAATGCATAGACCTCCTCTCGAGCTTTGATGAACCTGCCACGTACAAAGGTCTCCGTCCCGTAAGGATCCGTCGTCAGTCCCGGCAGCCCGACCTTCTTTCCCTGAGGCCCCGTGATGTTCAGGTCGTCGAACACCTGGGAGAAGCACGTCCAGCTCTCGCAGGCCTGGTAGCTGTCGATGGTGAACTTGAAGGGCGGCTCCAGGTTTTGCAGCGGTTTGGCTTGGCTCTCACAAGTGTAGTTGTAGTCAGCGATGAAGTTGAACATGCCCGCAATATCCGAGCCGACGCTGAGGCGCCGCGCTCCATCCACCGCAAGCAGAGGCCCATCATCGTCGATGTTAAACCCACGAGAATTCATCTTCTCGACGAAGTCAAGGGAAGCAGAGATTTCTGAATCGTCGATCATTAGAACGCCATGGATAGTTTCCAAGTCCACCACACTGCCACATTTGCTGGTGGGAACCATGCGGCGCTCGTAGCTCAGGATGTCCAAGGCCACTTTCACCTGCTCGCCGTTCTGGTGGGGAAGGGACAACGTCACCGACTTCAGCTCCTCGAAAGCATCGTCTGGCATCGTCGATGTCAGGGTCTTGGACTCTCTCTTGCTTGGCCCTGTGGCGATGGGCTTGCACTCCCCCTGGCCCTCCGAGCAGCCTGTGGGCATTAGCGCACCCCCTGTAGTGGTCATCTCTTTGGTGAGCTGGATAGCCACCACGGAAGGACAGAACGTGAGGAGCAGAAAGAGGATCACAACCACCAAGACCAGCAGCAAGACAACCTTGATGAAGGAGAAGCTTTGCTTGAGTTGTTTGTGCTGCCGGGCAAAGGCCACTAACTCGACTATGTTCACGGTTCCGTCACCATTTTGGTCAAAGTCTTTCGGCTCGTCCTCCCTTCATCCTGCACCCAAGAGGGTTTCTATGCTGATGTTGGTGCTTTTGCCTGGGATGGAGCCGCGGCCACCGCGATCGGGAACCTTCGAGGCAGGCTCAGGCTCTGGGTGATCCGGCACCGGATCGGAAGTCTCTGGCTCTGGGCCCTTGGCATCCTCTGCTTCTACATCCGTCGCATGACCTTCGCTGTCGTCCAGGGTTTGGAGGGCCTGGACGAATTGAGGGCCTCGGACAAGCTCCTCGGCGTCGCTTTCTTGGACGGCTGGGGCAATTGGGCGGTCGACATGCGAATGCTCGGCGTTGCCGTCAGGGGGACCACAGCAGTACGCCATGACAGTTCGAATGATCAGCTGCGGGCCTGTGGCTGAAGAGACTGCAAGGATGAATCCACATGTCCAGAACCATCAACAACGCCTGTCTAGGGCCACGACATGCTGCAATGCTTCGCAACATGCATCTTCACCGTCCAGTCCTGTGACCAGGAAGCCATCATAGCTCCCTTGCCTGACTCACCCGCTGTTGCGAGCCGCTTAGTTCTGAGGGCTGGGCGCATCAGCGAGCGCTACACCCTGAGGAAACATGCAGTGCATCAGCACATTTGCTCAGCTCTGAGGTCCAAGCTCAAGTCTGAATGGCTTCAGGCCGCAACCTGAACGCAGAGGAGCCGGAGGTTGGGTTCCGAGCTGGGGCCAAAAAATTCATATCATGTTAGTCGAGGTGTACTTGAACATCGTAAACAAAGGAAACGTCAAACAATGACGGAGCTCCGTCCCCTTTGCTCCTCTAGCAAATCGCACTTTGCTATTTGGTACATGAAGTGTCTTGCGCTCATGCACAGCTGGGTGTCCACGCCCCACTTCCACGTGCTGGCCTTCAACGGCCGCTCTCCAAATTGGCCTGATCCCAGATCCAAAGCGCAAAAGGCTAAAACTCTACCCAAAGCCCTACAGCATGATCCAGAATTCACCCAACGGATCCCAATTGCTGCCAACCACCCGGCCTGCATGCTGCATTGTAGCCTGGCATGTTCGCCTACATGATACAGTTTACGGCTTGGGGTTTAGGGCTTTGTGTGTCTATCAAGAGGCCGCTCACGACACTAAATCTGCTCACAGTACATCTTGATGTCTTGTCTCTAGCGTTGGCTGGATGACAACTCCAGCTGAGGCAAAGGCAGACTCAAGTCGCGGAACCGGAAACCTGTCTTCACGCCTAGAAGCAACTCTAAACCCTAAACTGTAACAGGTACGCTGGTGCTCTAACGGCATGAGACCACGAGGGACGGGCCAGGGGCCCGTGGGAACCGGCAGTCTACTTTGAAGATCATGGGACTTAGTAAATCGGATTATGGGCTTTTTTGGCGCTATAAGTAGATATACCCATCCTTACTTCAAGTAGTCTGGCAGTTTGTATTGGGAAGTAGTGCAGGAACCTGAGTAAGAAACCGGGGGTCTTGATTAGGGATCTCTTTCTGATTCCATTAGGGCTGTAGGGCCAAGGTTTCTGTATCAGGTCCGTGCATTAAGTGGCATTGACGGCATTTACAAAGGCTGTAGATCATTCCATGCACTGGCAAGCTCGTGCTGGTGCTTTCTGGGGGGGTTTATTAGGTTTGAGGTCGGGTGCTTTGAGGTTTAAGTTATTTGGTTATAACTGGTGTAGGTCATGGCGTAATGTGCAAAAAGCCTCCTGTTCGGTCGCAGTATCTTCGGTTTTACGAGGCTGGCAGCGCAACCCATGCAAGCAGGAGGGAAGGAGCGTAATCGAAATGTGCTGCAAGCAAGCATACGAGCTGAGACGGGGACTTCGACCCCACAATGTGTCACACCAAGAGATTCTCGAACGAGACTTATAAGCAGACACTGCAAGTTTGAACCTGTCAGGGGCAACATGACAACACAGCAACTTCCCAACCTTGCAACAACTCCAATGAATCATCAGAGCAATTCGTCCTGCTGGTCGTACTGTTCTAGTTGATTTTCAATCCTATAATGGTGCCCCTGTCTCTCGCCAAGGTCAGGAATACTTTCTGTTTTCTCCTTTGTGAGTTTTAGAGAACCTTAGGTAGGTGTGAACGGTAGGAGTAGAGAAAAGTTGTCGGTCGCTGCGCTCACGCTTCCTGTCTCACCTTGCGGTGAAAGTGATCAGTGTCAGAAGCGTGTCCAACCGGAGTTTTCCTCACGAGTTTTCACGAAGAATGGTGTTTCCCTGAACTTTCCTGAAGCATGATGAACATCAAAGTGTTTTCAGTTTGTTTGCTGTGAGAACGGACTTCTGGACGAAGTCCGGGGAACGCCTGGGCCGCGTAGCAGAGTTGCCAGTGCAGAGAAGCCGTTAGGAGTGCTTAGGACTTACCTCGGAAGTGAGTGTGCTGAAGTCTCTGTCCGCGCCCCGTTTCACTTGGCTCAAGACTTGCACTGCGTGACAAGCGCGTGGTGAACAGTTGGTTGCGACGAAAGGTGTAAAAGTGCTGTTAGCTTTCACTGCTGTAGCCTTGCGTGACGTAGTCAGTCAGTCGGCTTGCACCTCCTTTTACTAAACCTAGAAGTGTGCCTCAAGGCGCGTTTGGGTTTTAACGTGGTAGCGGAGCTCAAGGTTGCTCCTCAGAGCCATGGACCCACGAGCCGAGCCTAGCCGCGACCGTTCCCCAAGAGGACGGAGTTCAGGGCGAAGTGCTAGTCGTGCCAGTGGAGTTTCTTCTGGCTTTCCCTCAACCCCTCGAGAGTTGAGTGCACCTGGCTCGCGGACTCGTGGAAGGTCCCTCCCTGCTCGGAACAGTCCGACAGCACACCGGCCTGTGAGTAGACCCAGACCTCTTGTGAGTGCAGGTCAAGTGCCTCAGGTGCCTTTTGCACAGGTGCCTCAGCAAGTTCCGTTGCAGCAGGGTTTTCAGCAGCAGCAGCAGCCTCAGTTTGGAACGCAACCAGCTTTCCCTCACGGAGGAGGGATTCCGCAGCAGGCAACTGTGCCTAGTCCAGAAGACAACACTGTCAACCTTTTCAGGCAGATGTTGCAAGCCCAGGATGAACAGATCCGAGCTCAGCAGGGCCAGATTTCGCAGCTCACCGAGATGGTGAAGACGCTCGCCGTTGCGAGTGCAAACGCTGCAAGTTCGGCCGCAAGTGCAGCTCCTGTTGCTGCAAGTTCGTCCCAAGGGACGCCCGCTGAAGCTCTTGGAAGCCTGGGTGCCATCAGAGTTGACTCTGATGGTGTTGTGAAGATGGATGTGGACACAGGCTTGCGCAGCAACAGGGCGGAAAACTACATTCCGTCCCTGCCAAAGTTGGCAGCAGACAAGATGAGATCGCGCCATGAGGAAATCTCCACGTGGACCGCTTACCGCGAAGAACTGACCTCCTGGCTGTGTCTTTTCGACGACCGCTACGCGGAGGAACTGCAAGAGGCTGTGGAGAGCGGTGTTCAAGTTCAGCAGATCAGCCTCTCAAAGGGAAAGGCCGCTCGTTCCACTAAGCTGTGGTACCTCTTGAAGCAGGCTCTCGCTGGTTTTCAGCGAGGAGTTGACATAGCCAAGCTTGTCGAGTTGAGTCAAGGCGGTGCCGCTGCAGGGTACGACCTCTGGCGTGAGTTGAACAAAGAACTGTCTGTTAGGTCTCGTGTGGAGGGACAGGCGCTCAGAGAGCAGGCTCTCTTGATCGCGCCACCAAAGCACTTGAGACGGCCATTGGATATTTTTCGCCATATGATTTCTGATTTTGCTCGCTACCGCACGCTCGTTGCCAACAAGTACCCAGACCTTGAACTGCAGCAGGCTGATGTTATCAGCTGCATCTTGAAGCACCTTCATGATGATTGCAAGAAGTACCTTTTGTTGCATGGGTCTTTGACAACCTTGGAGCAGCTTGAGCGCGGTTTGGTTTTCTATGATGAGCAGCTTCGTGTTTTGAACTTTCACAAGGAAGCCTCGAACGCCAAGGGCTTTGCAGCTTTTGGTGCTGATCGTTCTGAGAAGGGTGAGCCCAAGGGTGGCGAGCCCAAAGGAAAAGGTCATGGAAAGGACCAAGGCAAGCATGGTGATAAAGGCAAAGGCAAGGACAAAGGAGGAAAGGGAAAGGACAAAGGCAAGGGTGGCAAGAAGGGCGGAAGAGCCCGATCTTCGACACCGGCTCCTGGGAAGAAGAAGCCGGGCACCTGCAACTACTGCCACAAGCCGGGCCATTGGGCCAACGAGTGCAGGAAGAGGATTGCCGATGAGAAGGCTGCTGCGACAGCAGCGGCGGCAACAGAGAGTGCTGCTCCCAAGGTGGCCCCTCCTGCGCCTTCCTCGACTGCGGCGCCAACTCCCACTGCTCCAAAGGGTGCCGGGAAGATTGGCAAAGCGGCCCTCCTTATGTCGTCCTTGTTGCCCGCGGCAGGGCAGATTTCTGAAGCAATGCCTGAGAAGGGACAGTTTTTCACCATGACTGCCTTGATTTTCATGTTTTTCATGTTTTGCATGGTAGGATGCTTGATTTGTCGGTTGGTTGCATGCTTGAGTAGCCCACGGCAGTCATGTTTCACGTGTGCTTGCGTAGCCGTAGCAGTGATTGCTTTGAGCCTTGCTTCCGCGCCGCAGCCTCAGCTTCGGGATCGGTCTTCAGAGTGCCTTGCTTTTCCAACTTTGGCACTTCCTGCAGTCACTAGGGACGACCCCTCGTATCTCTTGATTGATAGCGGTGGGAGTGTTCACCTTGTTTCGCAAGACATGCTTGGAGTGACTGCGAAGCTGATCCGAGAGCTTGAGGTTGAGCCTCTCTTTGTAAGTGTCGCCAACGACCAGACTATGGAGATAACTAGGTATGGGTTGCTAGAGCTTTGGTTCCCTTGTTTCGAAGAGGGGCCCTCTGGAACCCAAGCTTACAGAGAGATTCGAGTGCAGCTGGAAGCGTATATTGCCCCCAATTCGATAAGCATCCTTAGCTCAGGCATCTTGCAGTCTTTAGGCTTTAGGATCTTTCATTATGACTATGATCCTCAGTTACATGTTGCATATCCTCCGGGTGGTCTGCGCTTTGAGACAGAATTGTATGCCAACACGTCGTGGCTGAAAGCTTGTACCTACGTTGAGCCTGATTCTACTGATGGTTCTGTGCAGTCGGTTGAGAAGGGAAGCGTGAGTTCTGTTGTCCCGTCTCACCCTGTAGGTGTACGGGTAGGGCTTGAAACCGTAGGAGCGCGTGTTGGTCGGTCGGTCGCTTCGTCTCACCTAGCCCACTCTTGCTCTGAAGGCCCAGTAGAACCTGTAAGGGACGATGGCTGGGTCCGACCACGAGATGGACCAGGACATGGAGGACTCGACCTTCCGGGTTCTAGGGTTGCCGGCGGAGCAGACGGA